TTATTTTTGTGTGTTTATTTTTGACCCAAGCCTTGTTCAACAAAGTTTTTTTTGTGAAGGCGTGTTGGTGAGCGGGCACATGATACCCATCTTGTTTTAAACTTTTTTAAAGGTTTTGCTCGCTCTCCGGAATTCTCCATATTTTATTTGTTTGTATTGTCAGATTGTGGAGTTTTCGAAATAAAACTATTTATCTATCTAATTAAGTTAATGGGTACCGTACTACCCAATCCAGATTTTAAAGTTAATAATACGCGATTTCATGCAGTGCCTCATGCTGACACGATGACCTGATAGTCTTACGTCACTCCACGTAAAATGCAAAATACTGTGTTTTTTTTTGTGACTTCACTTATTTTACATTATGATTATCGAACACAGACACTAGAGCTAAGATCTGAAGCCCGACCCAACCCGAAATTCGGGTCCCGGGTAGGATTGCCAACTTTGTGTTAAACCATTCCGTGACATCTCGATGTCTTTGAAAATTGATGCAACGAAAGCTTGTGGAACACGACGCACGTCAAAAGTAAAGTGACTATAACATATGGTTTATTATCACTTTGGTCAAACGCAACAGTGCGCACTGCGCGTCGTGCAGCGTTATTTTCACAAGGATAGGATAGGATTTACATATTTATCCCGGGGAGAGGAAAGTCGATAAGACGGCTCAGCCATATGGCCAATCACGGCCTCTCGTCCAGTTACCATTCCATGTCGAGTATGGGATAAGTTAGTTATTTGTTTTCGGAAGCAGGACTCGACTGTAAATAATTTTATAATAATCAAAGAGACTTGTGAAGTGTTGAGTCTTCGACGCATAAAAACTAAAGCAGGGGGAATGTACAATTTGTGCTACGTAGATTTAATTATTAAACTAAAAACACAAGAAATCAGTCTTTCTGGTATTTAAATATGTATTTTCATTGTGTTTTGCCGCTTTAAGAAGATCTTTGTTAGTTTTCACAAAGTTTATGTTGAAATTTGTAATCCTTACGGAAATATATTAATAATGAACTCTCGCTAAGACAAGAGCTGTCAGCAAGGCGTCCTAGAACAGACGGCTTTGCGAGCCTGAAAACTGATTGAATAATGAAATCTGAGGCTCTTAAAAGAGGCTCACACTCACAGTGCATTATAAATTAAAAACAAGAAACACAAAATTGTGTTACACGCTGCAACTTGTTGACTATACATTTTTCAACAATTATCACCGGATTAAGTTTTGATACTCTCCAATTAAGGTGACTTAATAGACACACAAATTGGAGAATTTCCCACGGCACCCCTGACAATATTTACGGCACACCGGTATGCTGCGGCACACCGGTTGAAAAACACTTTTGTATATAATGTTATCATCCATTTTGCAATTGTTCAGCTTATGACGAAACATGTCTTATCCACACATTTCAACTCACTCCTATTTGAATGAACCATACAGATGTGATCGTTTTATTGAAAAATATATATATTTGCGTGAATTACATCAGTTTCCACTTTTGAACGAAGCCGACACGCTTACAAAGGTCTTCTATTTTAAACGCCTTGGTTGTCGTTAAATTCCGGGACAGCCATAGCCCAGCACGGGACGCTAGACGTCAATTCCGGGACTGTCGCAGCCATCCCGGGACGGTTGGTAGCCCTAGTCCGGGGTCGGGGCAGAAATGTCAATCATTAGGTTCGGGTCGGGCTTCTCCATTGCTGACTTTTTTTCATTAAATATATGTTTAAAAATAATATATATATACTAAAACTATGTGTGGATACTAAACTAAGGAATACTTGTTATAAAATAAATAATTTGGATAAAACAGAGAAGAAGCCGACCTTTGACCCACGAAGAAAATTTTCGGGACTTGTTTTGAGAGTGGTTTCGCGAGTTGGCGCCTGTAAAATGGGGATTTTGTTTCAAAATCGAAGAAGAATTTAGATGCTTGACGCTGATAGATATTGAGATTACAACATCAATATGGTGTTAAACAGCGCTAGAGAAAACTAATTCTACTTCTATTGATATGTTTTTTGGATTGATGATTCGTTCTGTCAATGATTTTGGTTGGGCATGAAAGTAAGTGATCATTCCTTCTCTTTTAGAATTATACTGGGATTGCAAGCATTCTTGTTATCATGTCACATATAAATACTCCGCTGGTTCCTATTTTTTTGTTCAATGGCCATGTCTGACTTGTGTGAGTATTGCCAGATTTTTCATCACGTAAGTTCACTTTTCACAACCTTAAGTCGGTTAGGATTGACAGCTGTTGTCCCTTATGATTCATCACGTCTATCAAAACACTGTTCATACCAAAAAATTAGAAGTGCGTAAATGGAAGCTTCAGGCCCCTAGTATGGTATCGGATTATCCCACGTGTTGATAGGAGTGTTTCTAATAGTTCAAAGTACTGAAAAAAATAACAAAGTAATTGGATCATGATCTCCATAGCTTGGGTTTGCTGAGCAAATTTTGTGTGCACAGTTAAAATATAAAATATGGATTTATTAACTTGTTGGAGAGGCAAAGTTTCCTATTAAATATGCTTGCAGAATGTGTATTGTTATGTATAGATATTTTGTATGTGTTCTTGGGTGTACTTTGAATTTTCAAAGCCGTTTCCATGCTAGCTTTTGAGAATAAATTTACATAGCAGGTTATTAGACAAAAAAGCATGTCATAATTTGTAATTTTCTTACTGGGTTTTGTTATATATACTTATATAGTATGTTTATATACTTTGTACCGTGCTATTTAAACACTGCAGTTGAGATATATATATATATATATATATATCATCTGTCGGATATCTCTCTGTCAAGATCGAAAACAACGATAACATAATTGTATCCATCTTAGATGTTCAGGTCCTTTAATTTATTAAATCTGAAAAGAAAAATAATTATGACCGGAAAAACTTGGCTTTATTATGAGGGGGGCAACAGCGGCGACCACTACTTTTAAAAAAATATTTTAGTCGGAACCACGACGTATTTCTATTCCATTTACTTGAATAATTTTTGCGGTTTCTGAAATAGAGTTTAAATATTTTTCTATTTAATATGGGCATTCTACTGGCAAATTATAACCGTGATAGTTTTTTGAAGCCAATGTATGTAAGGCTAGTATAACGCGCCCCATTTCTGTTGTTAACTTCTTCCAAGTGAATATATCAAAAATGCTTGCGGGGATCTTATGCTACATGTTACATAACTTTGTTAGGAAACACTTTGTAATGAGCTTTATAGCGTAGATCGCACGCGTCAGCTCCAATGAATAAATACATATTTGAATAAAGACTTGGTAAAACATGTCATGGACTCCATATCGAACGCGATTCCAGACAATCCGTGTATTCGATTCAAATCACAAAGCAAAGAAGGAAAAGATAAAAAATGTATGTTAAACTTTTTACAACCTGCTTTCTACCATGATCGACTGAATTTCTCAAGATAGCTTGCGATCGACTGATCGTTATGAATTCATATATACACAAAAATATGAAGATAACTGCACACAGCATACAAAAAATTCCACCGCTGCGATTTAGCTCGGCTCTGTCGGCACATTCGTAATGAAACCGCCCCCAAAATATCTATTTTTTATGTTTCATTTAAATTGAATATTTAAATATACCCGGAATAGGTGTTTCATCGTCTATTTCGGATTTATTCGAATCCTAAAATTCAAATTTAAGGCCTGACTAATTACACGCAGTAAGTGTTAAACAACCTCAAAAAACTTGCAAAGTAACCATGATTTATCTAAGCATATTTAAATACATATTCTCAAATCAAAGATGTTACGTTTCACGACTTCTCAAACTTTAGTATTTAATTTACGATTTCCTCCAAGTCCGATTCTTCGCTCGAATGGAAGAAATCGAACATTCGGATGCCACTGTTAACCTTGCAAATAAAATTCATCATACTACGATTGGAGTGAGACAATAAATTCGCATAATGCAGAAGTTATTGTATGATGGTTTGCCAGTCTGAAACTTTGCAGCGGCTTGCTCAGACTCAAATATTTACTGTATGTGTATATTGTATTTTGCGCATTTACAGTACTGTATTATTAAAACGCATAGCATGCACTGAATAAAATCTGGTTCAGGGCAATTTTTTGGGATATTCTATTCAAATCATTCAACATCAGACGCGATTGACTACTCGAGACGCGGCGATTGACCGATGTTGGCAGGGCTGGTATTTTATCAATGTCAGTTGTATGGGATTGCCGATGTTGACAAAATTTATAATCATAGCACTGTTTTCATCGCCTTTGCAGTTATCGTTCAATTATGCATGCTGTATGCTCCAAGTTTTTCTTTATTGTAAGAAATGCAGATGGGCCTTAATTGTCAATTTTTTTTTTGTTATTTAAACTTTTAACAAGTTTTTATCCACCATCGTTTTCTTTTCGCACATATGTTCTCTTGTACACTATGATGATCAAAATAAGCAATAATCTGTATTTCATCAATTTTCAACCCACGAAAATCAGTAAGAAACAATTCGGAGGTACCACGTTTTGTTAATACGTTTGTTGGATGAGGGGAAAAAGTAGTGTGAAAAGTGTAGTATTCTTGGAAATCCATTCAAATTCATTGACGAAGTTTCAAACTTAAAATATTGGTAGTAACAAAAAAGAATATTAGAGATGTGAGTTGAATATTTGTTGCTGACTTTTCCTACGCCGTTCAAGTTTGCGCCAAAATACTCGTAGCTCGGCCTACATTAAACACAAAATCCAAGCTACTATTACAAACCTAAAATTGTGAACTCCTCCCAAAACCTATTCGTAATTCCAAGAACATCAGTTTTGGGAACCACTCAAAGATTTCTTTTTCCATATATCTTAAGTTTGCTGTCACAAAAGAATTAAACATGATATAGTTGCTAATCATTGCGAGCAAAACCAACATGACTTTTTCCAACGGAAATTCAGTATGAATCCAATGTATCTGCCCAAAACAATAAATATTCCATACAGCAAAGCATCGCTAACTCAGTATCAGAATACTATTAAATTACAACATATATTTATTATGAACGGCACATACAACAAGTCACAAAGCATGCAAATTCAAAAACCAGTTACTATCCAGGTAACAAATAGGCAGCAAAATTGATTTTTTTTCGAATAATTTATCAAACTAATTTAAAGAACTAAATTGAATACAATACACTGCCCCCTCTGTCTTGAATTGTTGCCACGAAGGAATCCAACTTGGAACTTGTGTAATTCTTTATTATCAATCAACACGTCGACACCTGAAACGAAATCGGGAAAACCTAGCACATGACATTATGTAATAAAACTTCAAGCAAATGGAAATCACGAACGTTATACCAGTGCTTACATACTCAATGTTTTGAGTCTCCAGGTAACATAGTCTAACGAAGTATAATCCTCGATTGAAGCAATTTACCTTGTATGTCTAAAATATGATGTAAAGGCATCACTATTATGTCAGTTAGTCCAACCTAGAGTCCTAAATTATGTTCTAATTGCAAACAAAATCTATTTAAATCCAAACTGTTGTTTCTACCTGCAAACTTACAAATATATACTAAATCTAATACCAGACATGAAACCATTGTTTACATTGAATACTAAGACAGGCTGCGACGACCAAACCGAGCAATGCGATTCCAATTTAGTAATTATCCAGATTAATTAACGCGAAACCCCATAAATGACAAGTGGCCAGATGCGTCCCCTCAGTCTGTTTGAAAACGTCCAACTTCTTGATAATCAAACATTTGTAGATAAATCGCATTAATTCTAAGAAGGTATTTTAGCTTGCCTCGCGTTTTACATAACTGCGTCTAATGTAAAAGCACATTGAAATATTTACAGACTGAAATGAACAAAGACAATTTGATCTTCAATAAGTATCTGTAATTGCAGATTTAGCCATAAAGTAAGATTGTACTGCTGACGCAGGTGGGTGAGAGATTCCACTATCTCGTACGGTTTCGTGCATTTGTTGACATACTGAAAATAATAAATCAACTGTAATCGATATCGAATGCAAATCCACAAAACTAGTGGATTCGACTCAAAGAATTTTTACGTCTTAACACTTTAAAATGGTCATACATCGTCGCCAACTTTCCTAGCCATTTTTATTCCAAATTTTATTTTATTTAAATTAATTTTCCAAAACATCAAAATAAACTAAACTGTTCATCAAAACTAACGATTCGGCTAGTAATCGAACAATTGACATGTGATTTCGCTATTTGCTACAAAATAAACTCCGTACAACAGCTGTCGACAGCTAACGAAATAAATGTGATTGCGAGAGGGAAAATGATGGTCTTTCGAGGGTCACGCGCCGAAATTTGCCGATCACTTTTATACCGATAGTTAGTGAACGCCAAAAAAAAATTCTTCCTCTCTCCCGTTATGTAGACTTTTATAAACGATTTCATTCGCCCTCTGCAATTGCTAGGACATGTAATCTGTAGGACATCAAAATGTTTACAACAAAGAATATCGATTTTCTTATTTTTATTCTAGATAACAAGCGATAGACACTTCCAATCTCTCATTTCTCCAAAAGTGTGAAGTCTAAAAAATGTCATCTGATTCTTTCAGAAAAAGGAATAGACCGACAAGATAAACAGAGAGCAGAGAATAATAAAAGATGTAAGTTTGGCTTTTTCAGCTTAGCCTGTTTTCTAACTTAGGAACGCTGACAATAAGCTTATCTTTCCGTCACCAGCAGTAACAATATCTTCTACCTTCACAAAGACCTGTAATTAAATTTGAAATTATATTTAAAACCTTCGCTCTATAATCAAGTTGTGATAAAACCCTTGTAACATTTTTAGACCAACTACCTACCTTTTCATTTACATCGACAATATCTTCTAGCTTCACAAAACCCTGTAAATAAATTGAAAATTATAAAACTTTCGCTCTATAATCAATTGTGATAAAAACCTTAGATTTTGTAACATACCCACCTTTCCATAAACATCGACCGATCGTCACTCGTCCTCTAGCACAGGGGTGTCAAACTCGTGGGTTTTCAAGGGCCGCATTGCATTTGGGGAATTGTGCAAAGGGCCGCAAACAGCTTTTGATATATTTTGATAATGTATACCTAATAGTATATTTTTAGATATGTGTAGTTTGTGACATATATTGCGATGCAATTAAATAGCCGAATAAAGTTTTGTTTTTCTGAAATTTTAAATGGCATTTACATATTAATTTCTTGGTATTCCACTATTATTGCAAATTTATTTATTCCAAACTCATTTACAAATATCCAAAACATCTTTGAACAAAGGTTTGATGAAAAAAGAATAATACATAAGAAAAATGACTTAATTTAAATATATACCCCTAAAATACTAACGGATAAACTCAATGTTTCTTTTATTACATATGTCCTGACGTTTGGCATCTCTTTTGTGCCCCCAGCTCACTAATATCAGGCTGAATTGATTTTACAGTCCCAACTCTAATTAACGAGGTCACATGATTATCGGTTATACTGGATCGTTGAGAATGTTTGATTAATTTCAGTAATGCAAAAATATTACATTCATCATTTCATGTATATTTCAGTAAACAAAAGTAATGACCGACTTTTCGGACCCTACATTTTCCGCCACGTTGCCTACCATTGGCACCACGTGGCATATGACCGCTTGGGTTATGAATTATATATATTGATTTTTAGTAACTAGGTAGTTGTATAATTATAATAATATACAAACACATAAAAATAATCTATTCGAAGTTGATCTTCAAATTTGTCATATTGACTGCTGAGCTTATTCTGATATTATCTACTTATATTGTATTCTTTCATTGTGCTGATAGAAATGTGCCAAATTAAACAATGTACTTTAGAATTTTAAGAAATACAGAAATATTGCAACCACCTTTTTTTTAAAAATGCCACTTTCTTCGTGTACTTTGCGTTTCATTTAGTTCCTGAAGTGTTTTTTTTTCAATTATTTTTTGCTAGCTTAAAGTGTATCCATAATTGGGTCAAATTGAAAACAAACAAAAAAATTAATTTTCCAAAGCTACTTTCTGTGAATTGTCCTTTTTTTGTGTGTGAATAATCAATTTCACTTTAAAAGGTTTGAAAAATGTATTACATTTAGATGGAAAAAAAAAACTTACAAAATATTACAATTATTGTTAAGCGTTCGAGGTCCGCATTGGAAGTTCTCTGGGGCCGCATGTTTGACACCCCTGCTCTAGCAGTAACAATATCGTCCTTCTTTGCAAAGCCCTGTAATTAAGTTAAAAATTATAAAACCTTTGCTCTATAATCAAGTTGTGATAAAAACTTTAGATTTTGTAAAATTTTTAGACCAACTACCTACCTTTCCATTTACATCGACCAATCGTCACTCGACCACCAGCAATAATAATATCTTCCTTCTCCGCAAAGCCCTGTAATTAGATTAAAAATTTTAAGTCTTCACTTTATAATCAAGTTATGATAAAATTGATAAACTACTTTAGATCAGTTACCTTTCTACCTACATCAATCAATCGTCACTCCACTATCAATCATGCCAATATCATATATCGGTAGATTTGTTTCTTCACTTTTAAGCCTGTAATTCAAAAATAATTGTTATGGCTTACTTTTTAGCGATGATACAAAGTTCTTGTGCAAAGTAGGAAATTATAAACAGCACGTTGACGCGGATTACAACTCACAAAAAATATGATCAGAAAACAAGACTTGATCCATAAAGAAAAACGTGGCAAAACACGTAAATAAATACACTCGAAAGGTATATAAGAAAAGAAACAAGAACTCAATGCTGAAATCTATATTCATCATATAACACTCAAAAATCTGAAACGACCGCACACTACCACGCCCTGAACCGAAATGTGGCACGCGCGCCAATTATTTTTTTAAGGTAAAAAAAAAGGCAGTATCAAAGAGAAACATGATGGGTGGGAGTTGTCATTTTTAATAAAGAAACAAAGATACTGTAATCTCTATCTCACTCTAATCAGTGACCAATGATTGTTGTTTACTAGTGAAAATAAAGAACGTAGATTTATTTGGGATGTGACTGAGAAGATTGTCTGATTAAACCACATTCCATGGAAACTTTATCAAGACAACTATTTATTTGTTGTTAGGCTATTTGTGTTTCGTAATAAGCCCAGTCTCGACTAAACACGTTCTAGGAGTCATAATAGGGCATCAGTGACGTTTACGCGGCTCCATTCCTTTGGGTAATTATAATCGGAATTGATCTGATGCGACGTCTGTTGACATCTACACTCTACAGAACTTCACTTCATGTTTGTAATTGAGTAGGTACACATAATACAAACTTGACACTTTAACGCAACAATATTTTTTGCTTTCCCCATAACTATTGAAACAATACATGGTGTCCATTACAATTTCAATTTTGTTATAAAGTCAGTTCTTAATATATCTCAATCAGGTTTGTTGTTTGTTAATCAGTAATTGTTCAAGTATTTTATACATCTGTGAGGGCGAAATCTATGAATGGCATTGATGAATTCCCTCTGCAATTTTAAAAAGTCCAAGACCCTATGTACACCCTATATGTCCTTTAACCCAACATCATTTAATATCTTGTTGATCCTTGGTCACTTTTTATTGAAATTATTCTTTCCGGACTCGAAAAATGACATCCCTTGGAATTTCTCTGGCAGTCTTTACCCCTTGTGTCACTATGCACATACGTCACATACATGCGTTTCACCAAGTATCTCAGTGGTAATATCAGTATGACATCTCACCCATACCGCGCTGTTCACTGTTTGGTAATTATCAAACCACGAATCAAGTCGAGATCATCCGAGCTTCGAATCGAGTCTGAGTCCGGCATCAAGTTATCACGTAGTTAAAGACATTCTCCTAGAATTCGGTTCCTAACTAAAACAATGAAAAACCAGTGTAAATTACATTTTAACATGGGTATTCTTCCTGATGCTTGTAGGTCTTATTCATACGAAAACATTTAAGCTCAATTTTGATATGATTGCTTTTTTATACCTACTTTGTTGCTCCGAACTTTACCACTCGAACAACTTGACTATTGCAGTGACGTTTTAATGCCCCATATTGACGTTTTTTTGAGTCATTCACCATTTACATATTTTAAGTAACCAATGCCATACACTCACATGAAAACCTTCTCTTATTATTTTAGTCATCAATCAAAAATGTCAATTTCGTTACTATCATAATTGATCAAGCAAGTAATTTGTCTGAATTTATATCTAGGTATATTTAATTAATGCTTATATCATCCCAAACGCTTGCTAACTGAATTATTCTTCCATTGAAAGTTATTGATGGTCTCGGACAAACCTACAATATCACATCCTAAATGTCTTATCACATCTAAAGCTATTGTCTTTCACGTTATAAATATTGGGTGGTACTGGTAACTGATCTCGATGTCCACACGATCGCATTGATACCAGTTGCTAAACAGTCAATAACGAGAATTTGTTGCTTACAATTATATTTTGTGGTGCTATGTTATTGTTTTCTATTTGACAAAACAAATGAACTCTCTATTTAATTTATGAGAAATCTGTTACTATTTCGAGATGTTCAAGACTTGAAGAGCAAAACGTAATAATATATCAAAACTACCATCTCATTAAAAATTTTATTCAAATTAATATATATTCGAAAAAATTTGAAAGAAACTTTAAGAACTATTTACAATGTTTAGTTAAATTTAATTAGATGATTTTGCTTTATTTATATTTGGCATACGACCCGATCACTCTGCATAGAGAGATTTCGTTAATTTTAGTCTCTCTATGCCAGTGGTTCCCAAACTGGGGGGTAATTACCCTCAAAGGGATAATTTGGCAATTCTTAAGGGGTAATCCAGAGTCCAGAAGTTCACCGTTTCAACAATCTAGAGACAATGAGTCTAATCATTTATTCACACGGTACGTAGAGACATAATAACAATACTTCGTCATACAGATTGTAGAATAAAATGCTGAGCTAGCTCAAGTTTATAATCGTGAAGTCGAATTGGGAAATGCAATAGGTGTTAGTATTATCGCCATTCTTGATCTTAGAAAAAGTGATAACAATAAGACTACTGTGTTTATAATAAATGGGTAATTGGGATCTTGGTAATTCAATTTAGCGGTAACTGTATCAAAAAGTTTGGGAACCACTGCTCTATGCAGAGTGAGCCCAGTCGTACGTCAAATTTAAATTAAATCACAATCATTTTGCAAGAATTCATAAAACATGCTTTTTCTTGACATTCTATGCATAATTGAGTAACATAAAATATTAGAAATAAGAAAAAAATAGTTTGACACTATTTGAGGACATGGAAATTTTCTTAAAACAAATTCAACTAACTGTAAAATATTCTGTTATTCGTTTTTCATATCTTGTTTTAAAGCTCCCGACGAACACAAACGTATTTCAGGCAACATTGTACTACAAGATAATAAATATGAAGATGTATTTCATAACGTTGGCCTCCGAATGTGCCTCCGTTTTTGACTTTTTGAATTTCATTGAGTGTTACATGTCGGGCGCGAAGTTCCGAGAGAAGATTGTTCCTTTGAGCGTTGACTGTTTTTACAATACGGCGTGCTCTTTTCCGAAATTTTGGTCCGTGATCGGTTCCTCATTCATGCAATAAAACACCAAATGCATGCACCATTTCATGAATCATAATATCCAATACCTTTTCAAGGTTTGTTTGCCATCGCCGATTTAATAAATAATTTCTATTTAATTCTATATATATTTCCTGGCGTCACTACCGGTATACCCTCACATCTTTATTTAGGTTGATAGTAGTACTTAACACAGGCTCAATTGCTACAATAAACATATAAATACTCGGCGAATTTCATTTTCAAATTTTAGTGATCCTTGATTTCATCCAGCTCGCTGTCACTGATTGCGTACCGGCATCCTACTGCCAGATTTACGATAATTTGACACGCTCAGTCATATTTTGCCATCTACATTCTGACACGCCTCGGCCGTATTCTGTCACCCCTAACCTGACACCACGCAACTGCCGTATTTCGTCACCCCTAATCTGACACGCAACAACCGTATCTGGCTATCCCTAATTTGACTTGACGACCCTATTTCGTCACGTCCATTTTGACACACAACTACCGCATTTCGTCACCTCTATACTTGATTTAAATGTATTGATAATTAGACGTCCAATATCGCTGTAATATCTATCTAAAAAGTAAAAAGATAATTGTGGTAAATTAAGTTCAAATACAAAACCACTTTGAACTATGATACATATATATTTTTCATAAAATTACCGGAATATATATACGCTATGTTTGGTATTATATATGTCCAGTTCAAAACGTGATGCTACTATTCTGGCATGCGGAGATCAAATCATTAAGGTTTCTTCGCACCGACCGTATTTCGCCACCCTTAATCTGACACGCACCGACCGTATTTCGTCACCCCTAATTTGACTCGATGACCCTATTTCGTCAGCCCTACACAGCCAATAAGACTTCTATGCTACCAACCCAAATATGAAGTTATTGAATTTAATGAAAATTAACGAAACAGATTCATACAAAGTTTATTGTATTACATAATACTGTAAAAAGGAATATTAGATGTCGAAGAAGCTAACATCATAACCTAGATTCTAGAATTTCATTCCCACTAACAAAAGGCCTTGTTCGTATCATCTGACAGAGTGGAAGCCCTGCAGCAGGGGTGACCTGCTAAACCAACGACTAATATACCGCTAAACTGAGGACTATCAGTGAAGAGCGTGGACTTGCACTCATGCGCCCGACTATATGGACCTTTCCCCGACCTTTGACACCCGAAAAATTCTTCCCATACTTTACCATTGCAAAATTTTCGGGGCTATTGTAAGAGTGCTTTGCGAGTTGGGGTAAGTTTTTTAAAAGTACCGGTAAAGAATTTTAGCCTAGCTATTTTTACACTAATTTTTTATTACTGCAATTAAATTAAAACTCCTAGGAGGACAGAGTGATTATTGAATTATCTGATTTATATTTAGGTTTCCGAAACACGACTGAAAACTAACGAATAGGGTTCAAAAACGCGAAAACGAGGTAATGTTTACGACCACGCTTGAAAATATGTCTGAGTGAGAAAAGTATCTGAGCGGATGCGAAAAGGGAGCATTGTTACGTCACTTTTTGCATCTTGCTGATTGGCCAATGTCACGAAGTAAACAAGGAAGTCGATGCTTGGGGAAAGGTTCATAACGTTTGAAGGGCGAGGGCCTTTCGTATAAATAGTCGTGTACACAAGTCGTTTCTGTAATTAATTATGCAGTACCGTCTTTTGTGCTAATCAATAATCAGTGGTTCTCAACCTTTTTTTCTTTCGTGGCCCACTTTCGTTGCATGAAAATTCTGTGGCCCACTAACTTTCTCATGCAAGGGAAAAACTACAAGAGAAACGAGACTCGTTTTTGCAGAAATAAATACTTTCATTTTAATAATTAGAATGAGAAGCAGCAGCATCATTCATTGCTACCACCATAAAAATTTGATCATAATGACACAAATGAAACCAAACTTTTCAATAACTGTAGTAATTTTTAATAGGCTTGTGGCCCACTTGAAAATGATTCTATGGCCCAAGGTTGAGAACCAGTGTGCTAATGGATGAAAGAAAACTAGGCTACGTCAAGATGCCGGCGTATCCTGGCAAATCTTTTGTTTTGTTGACATTCGTTTTTTTTGGTCTTGATCCATTCAACAGCTCAGCACACGGAATTTTAAGTACTCAGCGTTTCATTTGGTTTTGCTTGCTTTCAAAAAAAAATTCGAATCTAATCTTCCTACGTGAAAGTGATTTGAGAAGCTATGCAAAACTAGTATTTAAATTTAAAGTCAGTCATCGATAGAGGCAATGTTTTTTGTTTAAGTAGGTAGCATGCGAGGCATTTTCTTATATAGGTCCTTGTTTCAAATTATGTGTGTTCTTCTCATCCTTCATCACGGAATACCATATTATTCTATTTGGACAAGCCTTGACATAGAAACAATGCAGACCCCTTGGTGCAATTAGAGTTATGCGCGTATAAGCGGACCCCAAATTAATTTCAAGGTTTTCCCGCTCGAAATTGAAAAAAGTTGAAAACCACCACCTTCCTGGCGGGTTGTATTATTTCGTAGCGATAAAGCAGCACTTTGTATCGAGACTGGAACCACCGTCATATTTGTTTAATGAAATAACCAGAAAAAAATGTTTCACATTCAATATTATTCAATTTTAATACACTAGACCCAATAAAATGAAAAATGATAAAAAAAAGTTCACATCCTTCCATTCTCTGCAGACTGGCACAGCGCTAACATTCTGTAAGACATCTTGAATTATAAAATCGCCCGAAAAATTCGACTGTTGTTGTTATCAGATGGAAAATTTTCAACGCGAATCACTTGAGCTTGATCTTTGTCGACGTCTTCTTGGTGGTGACCGTCGTCTTGGTGGAGACCAGAGAACCATTTTGAATATTGTTGCCTTATTAGTTACCGTACCCTTAATGCCCAACTTGCCGTGGTTTCGGCACAAAGGATCAAAGGATTATTAATATAAGAATATTTTTTGATTTGGCCATATATGCAGACTTACTGTACATCCCGGTTTAGCTGGGACAGTCCAAATTTTGACAAGCTGTCCCAGCGCCCCGGCCGGTAGACATGTCTCGGTCATGCAGTATGGCAGTCACAAATACTTCACTTAATATCAATAAAATGTAAATAAAGAAATAAAATGTAAATAAAGGAATAAAGTTCCAAAATAGGCGAATTTGACGAGGTTGGGAACCACTGTACTATATTGGTATGTTATAATTATTATACATAATGCAATACGTCAATTCAACATAGCATCAAAAATTAGCTGTAATGCTGCTAAACTATTCAAAATGCTGAAAAGGAAGTGCACTGTGCACGTTTTCCAATTATTTGAATATTACTAATATTCATATACGAGTTGAATATTACTATACTACTAAGTCTCTGAATCGGACCAATGTCAAATCCGCACTATCCCGTTTTTTTTTATATATATGGTAAGCCTATATAGGGATGGGCAAAGCAGAATACCAAATCCTGAAGTATTCGAATCCAAAAGGATCCGATAGCAGGATTCGGTTTCCGCCTTTTCGACGCCGTGAGTCAATTTCTGTATTTTGGATTTCTAATTTATTAATCAGCGACGATCGTATTCTCTCACGACAAAATCTCTCTCGTTTGATCATACTTGTGTGTTTTCCCGCAAAGAACCTGCAAAAACCACAGACATCAAACACCGTTAAACCCAGCTTGCATATCCATAACGCGAAGACCGCGTTATTGCACCATTTTTGCGTTTTTTTACTATCTAGTTCGCTAATATTAATATTTATTATTGATATTATTGATATTTAATATTTATTATTTCGATTACATGTTTGCAACAATCTTAAATTTTTGGAATACGTGAAACATTCTTCATTTTAAATTAAATGACTCTCGCAGCCTTCGAGTTCCCCCGGAAAACGATATGCACCCTACGTTAGATGTTAAAATCATTACTAGCGATTAAATTTAGATCAAATTTAACTGTTTACGACGCCTCCAACAATACAAAGTTATAATGCAGAACGTGGCGTTTTGTTACATTTCTTTTGTACTCTCAATAAAATACACATTTTTCAAACTTCGAGTCGCCGATGAACCTGTCTGTTCCTATCGTCCAAGCTCGACACATGTTTGGTCAAGTGTCGGGCGCTATTTTAGTAAACGATAAAGTAAAAAAAAGGAAGTTCACAGTTCTCATACCGGCCTTAACTATTGGTGAACATTATGCAACGCGTATCGTTAAGTCTGGGTAGATATATAACGAGAATTAAGATTTGACATACTTGATAGTCGTTAAATTTAGTTTCCACCATTAATCAACGCGCCCTACCAAGAACACCGCATAAATTGCAGTGGCCTCGGTCTGACCTGTGTGTTTTCTGCGCTCTCACATTAATAATGATTCAATGTTTTTTCATACATATAATTTGTATTTTACAATTTGTAATAAAGTGTAAAATGTATTTATTTATTTTATTGTAAGTATTTAGGAATCACATAAATTCTGAACAAATCAAGGCAGAAATTAATTTCCGAGTAAAAGTAAAATCCGATCAATTTTGCTATTTTCAAATTGTAATGCATCAATATGGTGGGAAAATTCCCATATTTAAATAACAATAAAAATAGAATAGGATTCGGTATTCTGGATTCGATTTTAAGTATTCTAGAATAGTAAATTACTCTATATTAAAGGGTTTCTATGATTGTGTGCTCGAAATAAGAATCAATGTTTTGAGTATATTATAAAAAGATATTGTGATATTGACCTACATGCTAAAGTGTCAATGTGCAGACAGAAATGAATACTAACCTTTCCGAAATATGAAAATATCTCTTGAACATGGTCTTTTGTGACATTTTTAGTCAGTTTTCCAATATGAAGCTTTGTTGGCTTAGGACTAGGGCTATGAAGAAAATAAGAATTGAGATGTTATAGTTTTTCAAAAATTATTGATACACAATTTTGGCATTTTGACACAATCAATTTTTGTGCAATATTAAATACCTCCGTTCCCTTCTTTGTCTTCTTGGTGAATGTGAGCTTGACCTTCTTGCACATATTTGGAGTAGTCATCTTGAATTGCGTAGTTTTTGTGGAGTTAATATACCGTTAGTCGTCCTCGTTTCAGTAATGAGTAACTCGGCTAATGAGTATTTACGTTTGTAAGATGTCAGGCCGGCGATAATGAGGCAGTAATCTCGGTGCGAGGCTTCATTATCACCGATCTGGCACCTTATCTAATCTCCGTGCATGGATATCACTTCACTCAGGCTATCATGAAGAATGTGCGTCACAATAATTTGGCTCGCCTATACAACAAGTGAGTGGTTAACCATATTTATATATGTCTTTGTACATCATGTTTTTATTTTGTTTTAGGGACGCTGGAACAAGAGACCTGATCAAGCATGTCATGGCGCTGTGCTATATACCAGCTATGTTTATTACGTCCAGATTCATATCACTGAAAGAAAAGATGCAAACTCAAGATCTCAAGAACTTGGCCGAATATTTTCAAAACACAACACATGGCTATACAACAGTGTCTAGACTCCCAATGATTTGATGTTGAATCAACAATCATCTGGAAGGTTGGCACCGCCATTTTAACAGTATAACTCGGAAAAATATGTCTTTTTACAGTTTAATCTCAACAATGTACGAGGTAAGTATAGGGATAGAGGCGGACGTTGTGGAGATTTTGGAAGAGAACGTTGTGGGGCGTGTCAACGGCAGGTATGCGGAAGCCAACGAGAGGGTGCAACGTGTCTGGAAACAGTTCAAGGAAGAAGAGTTATCTGTGGACTCTCTTCTCCGGAGGTGTTCAAGGATCTACGGGCCGCAGTATTGCGAAGAGTAAGTATGTAACGCAGCAAATTTCCCATAACGTTTAGTATTCAAATAAAATTCATTATTCGTAACAAAAAAGAAAACAAAACCTTCCATCCATTAAATTTCCCCATAACGTTTAGTATTCAAATATCATATTAAATTCATCAATCGTAACAAAAAGTAAACATCTTTTATCCATTCTTCGGCCCAGTTTCGAGTTGTCCGCCTCCCGTTTGAAACGTACAGATTTTAGATGGAAAGGTCTTGTTAAAAGAAGTAGTACCGGTACGTGTTCGCTCACCCAAAAGTATTAAAACTAATTCTGTACTTAGAGCATGCACGCACACAAACCAGAAAAACACACAATCACGGAGACATGATGAGATCAGAAAAAAAAGCCGAGACATAAAATCAATTACCGGTACTTGAAAAAGTGAAAATATAGAAACAAATAAAATAAAGTTTTGCCACACCATATTAATAATTTTATGAGGATTGCCAAATTGGATACGGTAGTCTACCGTACCGAATTATACTGTGTATGGAATCTCAATCATTTCTTGGACATTTTTCACAAACTTGGTATCGTTTCTCTATTTTGTGACATGGGTAACAGGTTAGGGTTAGGCGATAATTTTTTTCCAATTTTTCTTATTTTAGTCCTATTATCAGTTCGAAGACTAGCCAAGAGCCTCCCGTAGTATTTGAACCTAAAATTATGGCCTAACCCTAACCTAGTACACATATTACATTCCGATGTCCGCCATCTTGGTTCGCATACTTTGGGAGCCCCCTTGCTTCTGTGCTTCGTAAAGTGGTGAAGCTACAAGCTTGTAGCAATGCGACCTTTGTGTGCGGCGAAGCAGAAAGTTCAATCATCTTTGCACGAATTTAGGCTAATTCCATGGCAAGAGGAAAAAATAATTGATTCAATATTATCAAACAAAAAGTTAAATTACATCAAAATAGCAGATGACCACAATATAAAAGGAATTCCCTTTCACAACAATATAGAAGAGATGAATTAAAATCTGAAAAGACTGTCTTTTCCCCGAGAAAGACAATATTTCATTGTTTTCGCTGACCAATGAAGTGTGTTACCTGAAGTTTTTCACACAACTCAAACCTAAACCTTAGATGACCTTCTGACATTTAAGATATGATTGATAAATATGTCACTGTTGATTGGCATAAACATCCCATATCCTATTGTGACGTAATAAGTGTATAATTTTGGGGTAATTGTAACTTTTTGCTTAAGTCGACATTTTATTCGGTATTTTTGGCAGCATGCTTGCTTAATATGCCACTAAAAAGAAACAAAGTGGGTATCGTTACCCAAGACAACGACGAAGGACACAGGGTGTCATGCGGGAGAAAGAGGCGAGGGCGAAGATTTAGAAAATCTTCCGCTGAAGTGAGTTAACTTATTTTTTGATCTAACTAAATGAATGTAGTCAAATAAGTTGGTAAGAAGTGATGGACTCAGAATTATATTCTGGCTCAAAGTAATGCCAAGTGTACATATGCCGCATTTGTGAAGCAGAGTTCGAGTGCAACACCAGTAGGGGTGGGTTGCCAATGCTAGTAAAGCTAGGGTTACCATATTTTTGTGACTTTAAAGCGGGACGCCTCCAAAGACAACGATCCCTTAGCTGTGATTTTGTGACTTTACATTTTCCGATTTTACTACATATGCCTACATTTAAAGCCATCCCGGCTGTCTTCATTGACCATATTGCTATCGAGAGTTCATGCGCATATTCTCTGTCCAAATATCGGGTTCAGTTCGAAAAATAGAAAGGAATTGACGTTAATGATACAAATAATTCGAATTTAGATTTTTTATGTACAGCAAAAGGAATAAGGATAGCCTGCCGTTTTTCAAGCATTGAGAATTTACTTATTCACCCAAGCATGCTTTTCTGTAGATAACGCCTTTGTCAAAAAGACGTTGTTCAATGTTACATTCACGTAAACGTCAGAACAAGACCAATTAGGCTACTATTGATTTTACATGTTATACGTTACGGGAAACAACGAAACAAACAAAATAACGAATTTACCTCCAGCAAGTGGGCTAGCGCTGCGCTGCACAGCAACAACAGTAACAAAAACATGTTAATTGATAATGTTCGTGTATTATGGTGGATGGCTGAACTGAACGCCAAAGCGGGACTTTTGGCTGACTTGTCGGGACGGCGGGACAACAAGCTAAAAAGCGGGACTGTCCCGCCTAAAGCGGGACGTATGGTAAGCCTAAGTAAAGCTCACCTCCTCCAATCACGAAAGATCTTTCCAAGATAGCGAGAAGTAGTCTGAATATTTATCAAATGCTCACGAGTCAAATCAGACCGGGAAACACTGATAAAAATAGTAATGAAGATACCCTAGATACGTCACTGTCTGACATGACTATGTGTTAGGACGGATTAGCAAGCAAATTTATATTTCAACATCAAAACAGAATCAAGGCGGCCTATATAACAATCAAATGAATTGCTTTCCATGTCGTAGTTGAGTTTTCCCAATAAAAATATTTACCATACAAAATTTGTGAAATTCAACAAAAAGAATTGGCTACAGATTCTTACGATTTTTGCTCTCCATGATTTTTCAAAAATTCTCAAGACTTTTCAAAGTTTGAACCCATCACGACGGATTAGTAATCCGCTGCTTTCTCTTGCTCGCGTGTGCAGCTTTTGCTCTTTGAGTGTCGACTGAGCCTTTAAACACGCTCGTTCATCAGCAATGGCGGTAATGAAAATCCAATGATATTATTTCCTTGTGATTTATTGCTTTTTTTTATGTAACGAAATCTGAGGTTTCACATCGAAATAAACATAAAAATTTCGTGAACATCAGAATGTCTTCAAACTTATCGAACACTAACAAACCAGTAAGTTATATGTGAACCGAACGCGAACGTTGGTGGCTCGGCATGATGAAGCAGAGTGTAGAAGCTGAAAAGAAGCGTAAGAACCCAGAGTTTGAACAACTTCAGTGAACAGATCACTTGACTGTGTCAACATCACTTTCATAATATTTATATATATCTATCTTCTATCCGGAAAATCGCTGAAGTAAAGGTTTTATCAGTACTATAATCCTTTTTCAGAGTAGAATGCGTATGAAACGCATAAAAGAATTAGGCTACCACGCCTCCGTGAATATTCGTCAATTAAAAGATCAATCTGATATTCCACAATTTTTTAATTGGCCGCTGTTCTCCATGGCCATACCAGTGATTTTCCTATACCCCCCGTAGAGGGTGAACAGTTTCACTACAATTTCAAACACTGAAATTTTGCAGTCGTTACGCAAGGGATATCGTCCATCTCAATCGCATTTTCATACTTTTATGTGCTACTTTGAGTCCCAATCGAGAAGTTTGTATCAAATACGCGTACTTGGAGTAGGACAGAATCACTGCTTCTATTTGGGCTTTTAGTAAATCCCATCCCGAATAGGAGCGACTACTGACTCGACTGGTAATACATATTTTGAGTAGGTGATAACAAAAGTTAGAAGTAGGCTATGATAATTGTGTCTATTCCGGGAGAAATTACGACTCTCGACTTCTGGTTTGATATCACTACTCCACCCAATGACGGGGAACTTAACGGCCCCTCGAAGTTTAAAACTTAGAGTTTTAAATCTAGTTCCCCGGGCCCGTTTTACATATTCAATGATATCAAGAAAGCATTCTTGAATATTAACGTTCTCGCCACACATTATTCAATTTTGTTAAATTAATTTCTCAGAAACAAGATGAAGAGAAACAAGATGAAGCTTCATCTTATTTGACTGCGGTGCATTGTATATATGCATTTGCTTCATGGTTCGGCAGAGGAATGGTGAAGGCTAACAAAGTCTTGGTGAGTCCGGAAGATATGTAATCAAAAAAAAAGATTTATTTATATATAAATGATTGTATAATCAAAATACTATCGGATATTTTTCTGATGTAAAAGCATGCAACATGATACTTTATATCAGTCACTTTTACCAACAGAACCGTGGTCACGATGAATTTGTAAGTAATAGAATATATATATTGGAATGTATGTGTATGATGTGTTCATGTATATTATGCTTGTGGGTAAATCCTTGATTTCGTATTACAATACCCATATATGACAGAGTACTCTCAGTTCAATTCATTCATGTTAAATACTTATATATATCAGACATTCTCTCAATGCCGTAAATCGTCGACCGTGGACATCGTGGACGAGGATGCTCACAGGGCCGACAAGGTATTATGGTATATATATCGTCTTTTATTGGTTCGAATGACGCTCTGCGATATATGAAATCTGGTTTATTTTACAAAACACTTCAAACTTAATTTTTTAAATCACTACATCGATATGCATTCTGAAAACCATCACCACCTCTTCAAGCGATAGTGTTATGATGAATCAACATGATCGTAATACCACAAATAAAATAACAATTTTACCTTATTGGATCTTTTATGGCGCGGTGCATATCGCTTCCAAGTTCAAGCTTTCTATTTAAGTCCCAAGGTCTGATATATGTTTATTCAACCACTATTCGTTAGACTGTTAGTAAAATGTTAGGTTTGAATTGGTCTCTGTGCTAATCAGTTTCAGTCTGAAATATTCAACGTGCGATGCTATCGTGTCTTTGCTGGCATCCATCAATTCCAAATGCATGAATCCACGAATGAATGTTGTTTAATAATTAATGTTCACAGATTCCAAATACTAAAAAGACTCAGAACGATACCGGAATTCAAGAAAATGGAAAGAATCATACCGGAATCGGGTAAACAATCGGCCCTATCAATTACCGACCTCTTTCAGAGAGTAGCCTTGTTTTTCTATGATACATATAGTTTAGATAAAATGCAGCCTAACAGTTCATTTAGATTGCGATCTGTGCAAAAATATAATTATCTTATTTCAGAAATAAAAATAAATTTTCTTTTATATGAATGATTTTTGTGCAGAACATCTACGTCCGGGGACGAGCAGGTCCGTATGAAATTTTCAGAAGAGGACAATGCTCTTTTCCCACCACCTGTAATACCCCATGTTACATTGCCAACCTCAAGGTTAGAGTTTCGCCAAAATTAGCTAAACATGCCATGATAGATTAGCAAATATCACAACTTTTTATCAAAGGCCGAGAAAGAGTTATTGAGTTCGAAAGTGATTTTTGATATTTATTAATTACAAAATGGCATTTTGCTCATAATTAAAAAATAATTTTCTATAAACTATCAGGCTATTAATATTATTCCAGAAATACCAGTAGTGACGACGTCGGAAAACTCTCTACAATGGAAGTTGAAGAATTGGCGTCTGCATTATCGACTTCTCACGGTGATTCAAAAACAGGAAATATGAAAAATGAGACTGACCACGACAATGAGAATCCATTTGTTGCGCCCCCAGTTACTCCAAGTATTCTAATTTGTTCTGTTTTGTGATATATATATAATTTTCAATCTGTGAGAATTGATTTTACTGTAAGTCTATTATAATTGCCCACAGTTGAGCACGCGCTAAACTTTTTTCTGTTTTGTCTCTTTTGGGGGCAGAATCGTGTTGTCAACTCCCATGTTTTCGCTGTTATTATGTTTGTCATCGACACACAACTGCATATCTGAAATCTTCGTCTAATGATAATTTGCGTGGGATGATTATGATTATGTATAGACCTAATAAAATTATATATACGGTATGTATGTTTTCAATTATGTTAGATTCTAAGACCATGGGAGTGCAGCAAGTCACGCCGCCACCAAACTCTGTTCCATCCTTTACCACTGGAATATTACCGCAGCCTTGTCTGTCGCTCGAAGAACTGGACACAAAGATTCAACTCAACGCAGTTACAGCAGGAATAGACGACGAATTGGTACGTACGTATCCAAAGACGCCAAAGTTGTTTAGTTGTTGTCTGGCGTGATTTCTTAAATAAATGCAAATAATTCATTACCTCAATCATTAACATTTTTGCAGATGAAATTTATGAAACAATCAGAAGACCAGAAGAAATTATTAATGCGCGGTTTGGAATCAATTGTTTCGGCAAAATTATGGTTCGAAAAAAGCTTGAAGTATGTCAACGAAAAACAGAACCAACTAAATGTGAAAAGAAATGGTAGTTCTGAACCAGTGAAAACAGTGAAACCAGCTGAAAATATATGCCACAGAGGTATACATAGAAAGTCTTGGCTTATCTGTCAATCATTTTTTCTGTAGTGGAGAGCTTACATAAAATATTTCACATGATCTCAAATTTATATGATAATATTATTAGTCGTTTTTTATTTAAATTTATTGCTTCAGATTTTTCTATCGGAGACGCGTTCGGCAACTTCAAATTCGACAGCATAGCTGAGACAGAAAAGCAGATAAAATCACTCGTTAATACAGCGAGAAGACTACAAAATTTTCTCAGATCTACAAAGAAACGGGTAAAATCCAATTTGATGTCGTAACATTTTGTAACTGATATGATAACAATAATATCACTAACTTTCTTAAAATTTTTTAATCGGAGATAAACATTGTTTATTTTGATCCAACCGTTTGCCAGTGAGCACTGAGCATGTATACTACATTACAAATTCTCATCGGATTAAATTGAGGTTAAATATTTATTAAGTTTTATTTATAACTTTTTATTTCGCTTTAAACTTGAATATTTATCTCAGTAGAAATTATACCGGCCTTCAACTATACAGATCATACGTAAGTTAAGGGGGTGGTTTGAATAACATACAATCCAGCATGAAACTCTACCAAACTGCCAACTATCATTCCTAAACATTGCTATAATCGATTATATAGGGTTCATGTTTACTTATATAAATTCTTCTTACAGGCAACAGACAAGAGAGATCGACACAGAACTAAGGTAGGAGATGTATACAATTTTAATTTTCATGGGGCGTAGCACATACATCGAGACTATGTTGTTAGTGTAACAATTTAATTTTGTGTTTTTTTTCTTCAGAAAATTGACAACAAATCAACACAGACTTGCGGAGTTACAAATGGAAAACCAAAGGTAAAAAATTGTTTTAGTACGCATTTGGGCAGAGGATACGCATTGAGAAAATATAGCTAGAACCTAGGGGACATTACATTTCTAATAATTATGTCGATTTCCGTAATCACTCGATAAAAATATTTGATAACATTTTCCTCAAATTGCTTCCATATATATTCACTAATTAGTCATTATATATTCACTAAATTGGTTTTTATTTTCAGGCCGAAGTGGTTTCGAAACTGGACGACCATAATTACGAAGCTGACTATGAAGTAAATATCATAAATGTCACATTGAATCCTAAATATGTGCAATCTGGTGCAAACTAAATATTTACAATATTGAACTAAATCTAAAGCAACTCAATGTAGAACAATGAATCAGCTGGGACAGCAGAAGTATATGGGGAACGGATAACAGTTACTTTGGCATTTGTTTGTTCATTTATATTCTATCGGTCCGTTTATTTTTTACACTGATCGAATGATTTTCAATGGAGAATCCTTATATTGAAGAAATTCTCATAATTATTTTTTCAGGATGAGAGTCACGATGAAGATTTGAGAAAATCATTGGTTAGTATTTGTTTTATACGGCGTCCTCTAACTACAGGAATTAAAAGCAAGATTCCGAAGCGCGCAAAATCAATAGCAAGAATTAGTGAAATTTGAAACTTTCAATCCTTTGTGAATTGTTTCTCATCCACTCAGAGGATTTGATGTTGGGTTACTTCAGTTAATGCAAATCTCGCTGTAAATTTTCGTGTTTAGATATTTTGACGTACATGTTATAGTCACAGTATTTTTTCAATCTAATGATAATGATATATTAAACCAGAGATTAAGGTAATTGTTAACAAAACGTATTTTGTTCATAAGAAAAATTCCACTGGAAAAGAAAAACTGAAGCCAATCCACGACATACCTCGACGAGATTCTACATCAGCGGTAGAAATTAACTTTTTTTTTACGAAAATATTTTCGAAATTCATAAGAACCACATATAAGTATTCCAATATTCTGTAAGAGCAATGGTTTTCAACCTTCCTCTACTTTTCTGATGTGCTGTGAGTGAAATACGAACACTAGGAGCTAGGCTAAACATTCTTCTTGAAGGGAGAGCTTCAAAATCACGTCATCTGTTTCCCAGTGGAGTTTGTTTCAATGCCAACAACGTTGCTATCTGCTATTTTGTCTATCAGCCGTTTCATTTGTAAACCAATGTATCTCTTGTAATATTTTTTTTTCATATTATGATTAGATATTTATTTTTTGATCATATTTCGGTTGAATATTTTAGGAAATTGACGATAGAGTAAAAGAGGTGAAGGAAATATACGAATTGAAACAGAACAAGAAGGAGGTATATATAACAAATTTATTTATTTTAGTTGAATGCCTAAAAAGCGACTTGGGGATGAAACAATAATTTGTTATTTGTTTGTACTAGTTTTACACGACATAAACTTTGATTATTACCATTTTCAGACCAAAGAAGATCAAGAAATGGACGTCAAATACGACGAATCATATTATGAGGTAATTACTTTAATCATTTTAGTCACCAAAAGTTCTTCAAATCAAATTATTAGGAGTTTTTTACGTGAGGGTATAAAAAAGGCCATCACATTGAGTTCAAATGATTTATATGTCCAGAACTTACTTTAATTCCATTCAATTATGAAATTAAAGTATTCGATGACTTGCACATTCTGCTGTAACGCTGGAACATAATATCAAGTTGTCAAATTGTTATTTTCCTCGTGGTGTTACTAAATGTGCTGTAATGTAAATATAATATTTAAAGAATTGTGAACAACATTTTATATCGGAGTATATAAGCAGATGGCAGCTTTTAGCAATATACAGTTAATGAATAAGTTGCCATATATGCTGCAAACAATATTTTAGCAGTTAGCATTTTCACTGCGTTAGAATGAATGGGTTTGCATATTTTTTTCTAGGATGACTTTGAAAGTGACGATGATGATTCATGCAAATCATCTGTAAGTATTTCAATTTGTAGGCCATACCCAGATTATTGTGCTATTGTGTCATGTTTTTAACGCGAACTTTTCTGCCGATTCTACATAACAATAAACCTAATTTCAATGTTTTCAGTCCGAGAAAGATCAGAAAATGGACGACAAATACTACGAAGCTTTATACGAAGTAATTATTTGTTTATAACTTTCCATCGGTAGTATATAGTGAGGTGAAGATTTATGAAAAAAATGAAATTAGACAATGATTTATTTTCAGTGTGTCTTTCGTTTCAGAAGCGTATAATCCAAATGTATTAGAGTTATAAGTGAGTAGCTTATTCACAAAATTATTGTTAGTCTGATAATTTTAGCGATATTACAAAATTGAGGTAAAATTGGAATCACTTCAAACATTACTAGAGCTCATATCCCATATATATAAAAGCCTAATAAGATAAATATATTATGTTTTTGTCTATCTACACAGGATGATTTTGAGAGTGACGATAGTGTTTCTACTAAATCATAAGGTGGGTATTTTGCTTAAGATAAGATTACATCGTATCACAAATTTTTCACAAATTTCACTATATTATGCTTTAGATAATTCAGTGAAATCAAATGACCAGCAATCAAAACAACACAGAGGAAGATTTGAAATACAGAATTATATCACACCTTGGTCCTTCAAAACAGTATTACGAATAGTTCACCAATATCCTAATACTTAATTCATTTTTTTTGCATTGTCGATATTAATAAATTTCATATTTTTGTTCAATGCAATATATTAAATGAAATAATAAGTAAAAGAGTTTTATACGTTTGGTGGTTGTGCAAAAAATCGCTGAATATACCAAGCAGTAAAGAATAATTTTGAGGCGAATTTGCAATGAAAAATTGGTTTACCATAAATACAATATATAATTGTTAGTAAATTATTGCTTTGTTAAGGCCAAAGAAACGATCGATGCAGAACTCAGGCGATTTAGAGCACCTGGATCAATTTGTCATGACCCGGAATAGGTTCGCAAGCATTTCTAAGACGGAGAATTTATGTTTGACGGTTCGGTTCAAAACGATCTGACTTCAATATAAAAAAAAAGTTGCCACGGAAACTTTGAGAAATTTTGTTCTATAGAGTTTTCTGGCGTTTAGTGAGAGAGATACAGACGCTCTTGGAGATTTGGAAACATCGCAAATCTTAACACAGCCAAGGCCACACTGTTGAGTGGGATGAAAATTTGATTCATAGATTGCAAATTAATTTTATGCTATTAAACATACTCACTCGCTAATTAATATTAGAAACAATCGTAACTGAAACAATTTGGCGTCATCGAAATTATAGGTTCATGGATAAAAGATTGGACCAATCTCAACCGCTTCCCTACTTCGATCGCAAAGCTTGAACCTCCCTACCTATGTACTAATTTACTATGTTATGTTCTTCTTTCATATACACATTATATACTCTAGACTAGAGTCTAGAGCAGTGCTCCGCAACCGGTGTGCCGCGAGACGATGCCGGGTGTGCCGCACAGGAATTGCAACTTTTCTCTTCATTTCACAATTTTTTTTATCCCTTGGTAATTTTACGTTAGTCTACTACTCTACTCTACTAACGTAAATTTAACCTGCTTTTACGTTAGCTTGAGCGACACCAATTCAAATTTCTGACCCCCCACTGTGCATTTGTGACGTAACAAGGAGAAGACCTATATGTCAAGCAGATATATTGTAAAGCCCATTGTCGATACGACTGGATCCGAAATCCTTTCTCAACTAGTGCTGAAATGTCATCGAAAGAATTACCCCTGCGTATTCGAAAAAATTTCTTTGAAGTAAGAAATAGCAGAACGCTAAGACTGAAATTCAGCGAAATTCCACTTGATGTGTTTTGGATTTTAATTAAAGAAGAATATAGGCACATTTCCATGCAGCTATTGAAATATTGTTTCAGTTTTGCACAACTTATATGTGCGAACAAGGCTTTTCCTCTTCATTACTGATCAAAAACGATAAACGATCCTGCATAAAAGATGTTGAAGGCGAATTTCGAGTTGCTCTTTCACGTATTGGTCCTAATATAGAGCGATTGATTGTGCTAATTAAAACAACCACAAATCTCTCATTGAAATATGAACATAAAGCAAAGTTACACTTTTTTTTTCGTTTGTTGTGGTGTGCCGTCGAATTTGGCAAGTTATATAAGTGTGCCGCATGTTAAAAAAGGTTGCGGAGCACTGGTCTAGAGCACTACTATTTCCAAATTTATACAACTTCATCGCCCCCCGACACTACAAAAAAAATATAAAGTTAGAAACGAATATATTACAGATTAAATAAACAAGGAGACAAATCATAGTTCATTTTTTTTTAAATGAGATGGATGAGCTTGGTGGTCTTCGGCGAGTCTTTTAATATTTGGTGACATTTTCGTCAGGTACAATCTCAAATCACCCCGTTTACTAATGGAAAGGCGATTTCGTTGTTTTGATAGCAATGGCGTCACGGCTGAAAACCCCATTTCCACCATATAAGAAATCGGAAATCTAAGAATCCAGGGCTCTACCCCTTTGGGAATCACTGCTCTAGAGTAAACCTGCTATACAGTGAACCCATCTAACTACTTAACATGTTCACCAACAATACTTCAAACGTCATTCCTTGACCATATACACGAAAACTATCGAGACTATGTACAAGTATTTACTGACGGTTTGAAAAACACATTTGGCGTGGGTGCTGCATATTATGTGCCTCAAGCGAAAGTAGAGAAAAAACTGAAATTACATCGATTTGTCTCTTCACATACATCGGAGCTATACGCAATTCTGGGTTGTCTCAGATGGAACGCAACAACAAGACCGGAACGTGTATTGATAATAACAGATAGTCTCAATGCCCTTTCAGCTCTTCTTAAATATTCAACATTCAAAAACATATTAATAGCGAAAATAGCTACAATAAACTCGATGTTAACAAAACAAGGAATACAAATTACATTCCTATGGTCACCAGCTCACGTAGGAATTATCGGAAACGAAATAGTGGATAACCTGGCAAAAGGAGCAATCAACAAACTCTCCCTCGATGCAATTCTGCCACTTTCCGTCTCAGAAGCAAAATCATATTTTGATATATTGGCTCGAGAAAAATGGAATACGGAATATGTTAATAGTGAATCAGCAAGCCATTATAAAAGATTTCATCCTACCACGATGTCACGACAAGAGAACGAAACTTTGTCACGTAAATATCAAGTTATTTTATTCCGACTGCAAACTGGCCATTGCGCCCTGAATGCACATTTACATAAAATTGGCTGTCATTCTGACGGATTTTGTGAACAGTGTTTCGTACCCGAGACCGTAGACCACTACCTATTGCATTGTCAACGATGTCAACGAATCATCAAAGAAGACCAGTCATTAGCAAAGCCAGAAAACTTAAACTGGAAATGACTTTGGAAGAAGTGTTTAGTAACATGGATATTGTTGAAACTGTTATCGAATTTGTTTTGTCTACGGGCAGAAATATTTAGAAAAATTACCTATTGTAATTGATTCAATTGTATAATTATATATTCGTAAATATTGTATTATATGTTAGTATAGGATTTTTAAATTCAAAATGATCAAAGGCGCAAAAGACCACTGAAGTTATAAGCGCCATAAAACATAACAACAACAACAAATATCTACTTAAATTTTTACCTCGAAATATTTGTGTTCTACATATTTTTTAATAGAAAATAAAGACTCGACACAGAGATGAAAAAAACACAGCTGTTAACTATATTTATAAAGAGCAAGCGCAAGGGATGCAATATTCCGGGAAACTGACAAGCAATTATGTAAAAAAATATATATCTGGCAAAATTAATATGTGGCACTAAAAACTAACATATCCGCTGTAGAACCTGATAAACTTCTATTCCTAAAATAATATCATTCCACCAAACTGTTTAATTTTGGCTCAAGAGTTATATAAACGATAAAAAGTAATTGTTATAACTACCTCTGTTTATCGAGAGCTGTGGCCATTTTACCGGGAATACCAAAATCCTATTCATCCAGTTGACTTGGCGGCGCTTTCTATTTGGAAATTCATACAAGAGACATGTTCACACTCACAAAAATTCATGCTCACCAAGGTCAAAAAGGAATGGAAGTTTTGCATTTAAAATTCAGTGTTTTGTTTCCGCCATGACACCAAAGTAGTTTACATGATAGATAAGATAAGCATGAATAAAATTGCACCTGCATCTGGCTCATATTTGACTCTATCTTGATATCTCGGAAGATAATGACAAAAAACGGTCATATTCTTTGTACAATTTTACCATTCCATTAAGTTCAAGATATATAGGCAGGATTTGACTTTATTCTCTTTATATAAAGTTCAAACTGGCCTTGGCTTTCGAATGACAAAATCAGCTAGAAATTTGTCGCATTCCAATATACCGCCAATTTTGATGGAGCACAAATGAAGTAGGTATGTGAAATGTTTGTATTATTGCGCTGTTTTTTATTTCCCGTTCCGGGTCATATAGACAGTTGGATCACAGTTCAGAAATTTATCAATCAATATCGACATTACGCAAATACACGCGGTGTCCGGAAAAGTGAGCGATGGTTGATGCGATTGGGGTAATAATGTATTTATGTTACCCGATGTGTTACAACTTCTAATATTTTTTCTTGTGTTTCTCCATTATTTTTTTTATTCTAAATAGGGTTTATAAAACAGGCGTATGAAATCATGAAAACCAAGCAGTTGGGCAGGAAAAAACTGGTGGAAGTACCAGTCTACAATATTCAAATATAAAAACAGTTGATCATTGAGTTGATCATTGATCAGTAACAAAGTCAATCTAAGTTTGTTACAAAAAGCGCACTTTACAAAAAACCTGGCCAAATAATTGGTCCAAATTATACACGCTTTTGCGCCATTTACATAGTAAGATATGTTTATTACCAGTAAGAGGAAGTGAGCTAGAATCAATCTCCCCCGCAGTCAAATAACGTCACTCCGTTTTGATAAGCGTTTACAGAATATCATACAGTCATATTAGCAGCACGTTCTTATGATGGCGACGAAGATATACTTAAGTATAATATGTGCAATATTTATTTCCCTCGTCGGACAGTGTAAACCGGCAATCTGGCGTGAGTAAACCTAAATTTATTTTATTTGCCTGAAAATGACCACGGATTTGTATATATAAATATTTAAAATATATATTTATTATTTGTTATTACCTTTCAAGTGAGATACCATTTCTACTCTCCATTGATTGTACCCAACGTACAATTCTGTATCATAATATCAACAAATAAGTTATTGTGGTGTAAATGAGGCGTACTGCCTTTAATGAGGCGTTGGGTAATCTTCAGCTTGGGGCAAAAGCTTGTGGTGCCCGGATTTTTTTGCCTAATATCTTGCCAAATTTATTGTTTAGGATAAGATTTTCATATTCAACCCGGAGACAAGCAAAAGCCGATAAGACAGCTTAATTATATGGCTAACCACGGCTTATAAAATAATAAAATATGAAATAATAACGCCGTTCAAAAAGAAGCTTAGGACAAGCATTCACTTATAGGCTACAAATAAAATGGACATAATTCTTGCAGTTAGAGGTAGCCAGGAAATTTCTATACGCTAAATGAGTTCGTTAAAATATAGATGGTAACTAATATTCAAATGCCCAATAACTATATTTTTCAGAGAGTGTCGGAGAGAATAAATGCTACACAGCCTATGCAACGCAAGTTATGAGATTTTTGATTGCTTCACAATGTAACAACCTAGGGTGGAACCTGTTGTCCCAAACGATATACAAAGCAACAACTATATTCTTGAGGTTGTCAGTACTTTTCTTAACCTAACAAATTGTCAACCAGGCGGAAACACTACTGATAATTGCTATGTTTGGCTAGAACTAATCATTTTTTATGGAACTCTGAAAAGAGATGATAATTCTCAAGCTGAATTTTCAAATTGGGAATATGGATATCCATCTAAAGAAAAATATGCTTATGTTGCAATGAATATTCTCAATGGAAAGTGGATAGATGTAGAATTTAACGACCCAAGACATTATGGAGTCGTACTGGAAAACTATGGTATGAACGTCAGTCCTAATCACAAATTTTAATAATAACGTTTTAATAAAGTATTTTCTGCGCAATGAAGCTGACAGAATCATATATCTTGTATAAAAAACAAATGCAATAATATAAGATTGGGGGAGGTGCGTCACTCATTAATTAGTAGCGTTAAACGAAAAAATCAAAATGAATATGATATAAAGAATAGTACGAGAATGCGAAACAGATTCCGATCGACTGATTATTAGCTAAATGATTGATAAATATTTATAAAATTTTCAGAGTGCAAAATGTTACCGGGTTCCGGATACGACATGGTAAACGATGGGGATGATGATTTAAAAATGGCCTTTATATGTGTAGGAGCAGCAATGTTCCTAATATGCGTTATAGAATTTTACTATATAATAATGTTAAAAAGGTGGGTATATATCGATTTTCAGGATTTTTCGACTATTCATTGTTTAAACTTTTACGGCTAAAAGAAAGTTAAGCACTTTTCCACATAAAAAGTGGTTTGTGAAGTGAAGCGAACGAAAAATTGCAATATCAAACATTAGAGCAAAATAGCATGGCCGTTACACGTAAGGGCTCTGTAGCTCAGTATAACTTCCAATAACATCGGTTAACACTAATTTTTCTCATGCCTAGTATTTTACCTTTTGTTTTAAATGTGACTACGGATTAGGTATAATAGTTCTATGATAAGATAATGTATTTTACTCACAGCTGCTTTCCTACTTGCTTCATTATACTCATATCCATTTTCCACAACACCGGGGTCTTTTAGTCTTTTTTGGTAATTACCAACGCATGTTTAGACGCGTATCTAAAATAGTGCAGCCACGCATATTTCGGATTAATATTTCAGCATATATTAAACAAATTTCGATAAAGGTTTTTCAAGTATGTTGCAAAGAAGTGTATTTATATGAGGTAAAACTAAGATTTGGATGGTAATTCAGGAAACATCGGAAGACTAACTCAAGAAATGAAGTTTCACATCGGACACAGCGGCAATCAAGCTTGGAAAAGAATATTTTATATAGCATGGTAAGAACAAAAATAAATATTACACTTTAAATTTCAAAATGACGTTATTCATTTTGTTGTCAATAAAAGAATTTCACATCTTGTTGCCCGTGTTGTAAGTACCGTTGACCTGACATTGAAATAAGAAATCAAACGTGTTTCCTAAACATGATTCCAAGTCAAAAACTGTACGACAGATCACATACGCTATATATCATAGATGTTGTTCCACTCAATATATTTAAATTATTCAATTTTCATGCTTATGATGTGAAATAATATTTTGGGTCTGTCCCGGAAATACGCTTTGCGGATGGTTTTTATCGAAATTATGGCTCGCTATAACAACCATGCTGGATATGAGCTCGATCGCTCTGACAGACCACATATTCACTCACTAATATACCAGTAAACCTATTCATTTCCTATATGAACCGATTTATTTCTAGCGCGATTGCTTCCGCATTCTTTTGTCTCGTCATTGCATTGACTTACGGCTATAAATTCATATAACAAATAAAATTTACTGTACTTGCAATTGAAAGTTTTTTTCTTCGGATGATGTTCCCGGTATATCTACACTCTCAGTTTCGTTAGATATTGGTGCGCAAGATTCAAAAACTGCATTTTTGATGTTTGCTTAGTCATAACTAATTTTTTTTATTACAAGTTGTGCTAACTTGTTGATTTGTGTTGTTAAGATTATAGAGATGTTATTATGGCCTTGTCCGTTTTGTGTCACTTTTCTGAGGATCGGTAGTAACCTTTCCGTGGACCGGCGATGGGCCGTGGACCGCTGGTTGCCGATTACTGTCCTATAAGCTATCGCCTTGGCTCAGGACAGAGATTGCGAAAAAAGACTGGCGGACAAGTGAAATTAAGTATCCCATCACGCCCTAAAAGTGTTCACATTAAGTAAATTTGTACCCTGCAGCGATTTTTTCGTCTGTAATTATTGCAAATTTGTAATCGATTGGTTCATTAGTTGCGGACAAAAGCGTACTTCCCAACAATAGCTATAACAATTTAGCAAAATAATCCGAACTTCATATCCATTTATGCGTGTTCTCGAATAATTGTAAGTATGATATCGATGATTGCGTTGAGATATCATCGTTACAATAAAATGGGATCCCGCGTGCCTTTAACTCTATTAAACGCTTTCAATCTAGCACGGGTAAAATATGTGAATAATATTCAGCGAAATTTATGCTCTTTTAATAATGTTTTTGTCGAAAAGAATTTGAATTCATATGAGTTGTCGCAAGTTTACAAATCCTATAATAATTTTCAACATCGCTCATATATTTCTTTAAACATAACATACGTTACCAGCGGTTTTAAAACGTATAGCTAGATAGGTAATCGCAACGACAATATAAGTTTGATATGGTCATAAGAGGCTCTTTGTATATCGACTGCTTCGTCTGCTGTTTACTCTCTTAAAAATCAGATTTAAGTCCCATCTTGATTGTGCTGTGTTGGCCTTCGTAAAGTTAAGTAAGTATATGGTCGTGGTATTATATAACGTATGTTTCTAATATTTGATATTGTTAGATTCTCAAATGTTTCAAACCCGCAAACCATGCTGTTTCTTTCTCAATTGCTGAGCGATAACGTTTACACGGTTTTAATAGATAGTAATGATAAAAACATAATATATTAACGATTTCCGAACAACATAAAATAATCGCAATTCAAATATCGAATGTAACACGTTATCGAGGTTTACGAGTTCTACTTATGTTAGATATCAGTGTTATATTGGTAATTAAATTGGAAATCACTTCAAAATATTATTCCTTTATCGGGTGAAATCGATTGTGCGCTGTTTGATTGTGGACGAGAATATTTCTGTTCATAAGCTCTTTCTGAATTCTACCGCCTGCGTTGAAAAGACTTTGCATATATGTCAAAATTTCCTCTGCATCACATGATTATTTTCTCGTCACTGGCTTACTTTGTAGGAAATATCATCTCAGTGAATTCGTATAAAAAATCTCTCACTTAATATAACGGTAATAAATATATGATAGGGAACATAAACATGGAACATCATCATAATAGAAGAACAATTTCTGAATTCTACCGCCTGCGTTGAAATGACTTTGCACAGGTTAAAAATTTCCTCTGCATCACATGATTATTTTTCTCATCACTGGCTTACATTGTAGGAAATATCATCTCAGTGAATTCGTATAAAAAATCTTACACTTAATATAACGGTAATAAATATATGATATGGAACATAAACATGGAACATCATCATAATAGAAGAACAAGGATAATAGAAGAACAATGAAATAAAAATAAAATCGTGACAGACTACAATGTTCTTAGTCTTTTGTCCGGGTTTGTTGCGCTTGAATCCGTGGACGCATATCTTTTGACTCCGGAGCGGATGAAAGTTGGACTTGACAACAATTCAGATTGTCGTATGACAGTTGAAAAAGTTGAAAATCTTTTTCTCAAAGGTGGGGTGGGTGGTGAGCTAGATACCGATCTTTTTTTATCCTTTTTCTGAAATGTTAGATCAAAATATAAGTACCATGTCTGAAATAGAATTGTGTATCGGGATAAAAATATTCAACCACATAAACCTTAACTATCCATCCTATAACTTGGTATATGGAAAAATTAACAAGTTTGGCTTAGAAGACATAAAATAGGAAATAAGTACTACGGCGAGGACTTATATTTATTATATGCGTTTATAAATCCCCCTCTCTGATATCACTCAGTTATATCGTGATAGTTTAGTATATTCTAGTTCATAGAAATATTTCATCTTTTTTTTACCTTCGAAACCCCGTGGGTTTTGTGAGGACTTGGTATATCTTTGAGCAACAATAAAATTGATTTGAGCCTCGGTGTATTTCCTTGTGGAGAACGTAATGTTGATCGAATAGTGCGGTTTCCGCTACGGGGGTCAGAGTATTTTAAGTCTGCCATTCGAATAAGACACTTTTCGTTGAGTGTATTCGATTTCATGCCATAAGAAAATCTAAAAACAAAGACAATTAAAATTAGTGAAAGATTTTTTTCTCACACGAAGGAATTGTGAATTATTTGCAGGATGGTTACAGTTTGAAAAAAGAAAAAAAAAATTACCTGTACAATTTGCTTGAAGCTGTGAATGTTTCTCCGAGCCATTTTCCATAAACATCTTCTGTGATGTGATTATCCAGAAACTTTTGTAGCAGTTTCATCGTCTGTAATACAAAACATTCAATCATACAAAATACTAATTTGAAGAACCCATTGCTCACAACTTTATAGTCTATAATCTATATAGTCCATGAAAAATTGAAAAATATAAACAACTAATTATTACCTTTTGTCTTGTAACGTTTTCTGTTAAACTTTCACAATGAACTAACAACTTGAACATTACTTTCTTTGCCTCACTACCGGTAAAACACTTTTCAAACTTTCGTAGATGTTGTCGGTGAGTTTTACAGTGTATAGCTTGCTTAAACGACAGTATGAGTTTGTTCCAAATATTAGTTGCTCTGTATTTCTGCTCATTTTTCTGTTGTTCGCTATTATTTGATACCTTTGCGAAATCACGTTGAAGTCCCATTTTCGCCTGTGCTGTGTCGATGTGTTGCAAATGCGCACTGTTACTTTCAATGATTTATTTGCTCGTGTTATATAATATATGTTAAAATTTTTCTTATTTTATAATAGCAGCTTCCCAAATGCGTCAAATCCGCAAATCATGCTGCTTCTTCCTCCACTATCTGTATCTGTATCTTAGTGATAAGGTCAACAATGATTACTTGATAGTAATAGTATTCACAGCATAGTGGATAAGCAACTTCCGATTAAGATAAGACAATCGTAAGTTGATAATAAAAACTATCATTTTATCGAAATTATATCAATTACGTTCATAGCATTAATTACAGTAAATAACGGGATTTTCATATTTGTTCTACAGGTGAGAAAAATTATCAACTTATTATGCTAATCATATGACGAACCAATGACTTGAACAAGTCCCAGTCCAAGGACTGCATAAGAATAATTATTATTTACAACGGTTAGAGTTCCATATATGCTCATTAATATATTATAACAAAATTAGAACAGTTTTAGCATATTGGCTATATGTCAACTCAGCAGAAAGTCGCCCTTTCGTTACAATATACAGATATAATATATCAATGTGTCGACTTGTATTTGCGGATGATGCAAAACTCGCAACTGTAAAACTGACTATACATATAAGATAGCAATATGTGGACGCAAAGGCCGCGGATGTATCTGAACGTTCACGCCCGAGCTGTCTAGCTAGACAAAAAAGTGTGCCCGTGAACTAAACAAAAAGAAAAAAAATTCTGATGATTTGGAAATATCGGTTCCCATGATAATCAGAGGAAATTTGAAAATAAATAATATAAAGGTGATAGCACGACAGTACGCCTCACTATCTTTAACTACTGAAAATGTGAAATCAGTTGGTCCATAAGTTGCGACGAATTTTTTTTTCACAACTCAATAACAGCAACAAGAATTTAGCCTAACCTTCCCATGAGAACTCTCTCGGGGCCACTTCAGTATCGGCACAAATATATTTTAATATCCCATTACCCGACTGCTCAGAATTCAATAACTGTAAACCCGAGGTTCCCAGAATTTTTAAATTCGCGACTCGTTCATTTTCTTATTACACGTGCCCATTTATTGGGTGGAAAATTTGACTTTATTCACATTGAACTGTCACAAAAAAGAGTTTTTTATATTTACCTAAAATAAACAAACGATAATACACGACGGAATGTCCACAAACCGCCGTCATGCCTCTTTCAAGGTCATTCTCAACAAATTCAATCATTCCAGGATTATAGGAAATCGAGTGAAATACAGGAAATTGAATGAGTTTTTAGGTTATAAAAATGTTATACAACAGCCGAAGCAAGTGTTTGTATATCTTTATTGTAGTTAAAGACAGGTTGTTGGACCAAGCTGTGTATGAACACCGCTGTTTATCAAATTAGATTTTTCATAGGCTTATATACACTTTGTGAACGGTAATTTCCGCCCTACGGGATAATTTGACCTGGATACGTTTATGAAAGATTATTATTATTAATTCTTGATTCGAATATTCGATTTGAAATGCCCAGCCCTAGGCGCGAGCCAATGGAATGAAGAAACTTTGATAGGCGTCGGCGGCTCCCCCTTTTTGGATTGCGAAATGATACGTGGGCTTCGTCACCGGTGTCTCCAAAATGTCATGTCCCACGTGTTATACTTGTCCCACTTGTATCATGTGTACCATGTGGAACAAATGGACACGGAGTACACGTGGGACAAGTGGAACACGTGGTACAAGTGGGACACGTGGGATAAGTGGTACTACACGTGGGACAAGTGGTACAAGTGATACAAGTGGGACAAGAAGGACACGTGGGACAAGTGGGACACGACATTATGGAGATACCCGACAATCACTCATCTAGATCAGGGGTGTGCAACCTTTATTGCAGGAGTGCCAGATTCAAGTGATTAGGTGAAGCCGCGGGCCGCACTTTTTCCTTTAGGGTATAATTTTAGTAGTTTTAAGCACAAAATATATTTTTGTTAGCTAGTTTTGTTAATATGACAATGGCACTCGGGTACTTGTACTGGCTTTGCGACGCAAAGTGATTGGAATTGCTCGCACTCAAAACTCGTTTCGAGGTCACACCATTCAAAATTGGCACATCTCCGCGGGCCGCACAATATTTCCTTGCGCGCCGCATTTGGCCCGCGGGCCGCAGTTTGCACACCCTTGATCTGGATCATAGGTTCTCGAAGTGCTCCGTACGGACGCAGGGCTCCGCGGGAGGAACCTAGGGGCTCCGCGTGCTATTCTATTATTTTACAAAATACCGACTTTGCTAATTTTGTAGTTGTTCAAAGAAGCAATGACAGCTTTAATAAAATTTGACAACAGTATAGCCTCGAAATATGGCAAAGAGGCGGAATTCAGAAATGACATTATTTATAAGCAGTAGCGCAGCCAGGATTCTTAAGAGGGAGAGAGGTTCAAAATTGGAATCGGAAATATTTGTGCAACATCCTTCGCGTTAAAAAAAACTTTTTCAGCGGATAACGAGATTTCTGTTGCGTAAAATATTCAATCCATGACCATTGCAAGCAACATTTAAAATGTCTTGTCATAATAATTTAATTGTGCTTATCGTTACTCACGTTTGATTCTAGATTACTATTAGGATTATTACTAAAATGAAAGATTACTAACTGCCAACAATAAATAAATTGAAATCGTACTTTTGCGATCAAGGTATTTGTCAAACTTGATTTGTTCTTTCGCACTCGATATTATTTTTAAGCAGGATATCGTCGTTACAAAAATCCCGAGGTTGACGTTAAAACTCAATAAGTACAATTTACAATTGTGCAATCTATGACCGATGCGGGCATATTTAAAATGACTCGTTTATCGGGTCAATTGTGTTCAATGTTATAAACCATTACTTCTCAAATTACCACGGCAAACCGCGGACATGAAATGAGAAACAAATTTACGTGAACGAAGTTCTTGTGGACTACCATATATCCTGAACAACGTTGTTATCATAAGATATTAGATAGAAACAAAGTCATATTGACCACAAAAGAACATACCTACTACCGGTGCCAGTAGTTTGATGAGATATTTGTGCCCGTCCCGATTAATTCATAATCGTAACCATGACTGAGTGCGTGGCAGTGTGTAGGAGATTTAGCGAATTCGACAAGTTTGAGCCGTTCTTGCAACACAAACTCCTACCGCGCAGGTCTGCCACTCAGATTCTTTGCAAGATATCACCGTTTAAAAATTACAAGGTCTGGGCAAAATACGGCTCCGTCGGTAGTTTCTGAATGAATAAAAGATACATCGTATGCATAATTGACTGTGTTTTGATTTCAGTTACTACGATGAATAATTGACACCAAATTTTGGGATTTACAATGTCTAAAAAGCGTTTTCAATCTGTCGTGAGTCTGTTAAAACAAAACTTATAGTGTTATCCTCCGTTTTAAGTTTTAGTTTTAATATATCATTATGCCATCTTCTCAATCAAAGAATTTGAGTTGCTGATTTACCTCTTTATTAAATATTTTAGCATCTCGTCGACGATCAATCAATGACTATAATATGGTAACCATGTTTTCACATTGAACTTATAATTAATTCCCCACGAGAACAAAAGAGCAATTATCGTCGTCATTGTAGAACAATACATGTATATGCTGTAGGAAATTTTTGATTCAGGGAGAATAAACACCGACGTAAAGATGTTAAGGTTTAAAAAACACGCCACGCTGACGAAAACAATCGGCGATTGTAACAAAATGCAATCGCGCACGTTATTAGCGACCTTTTAAGTCTTCCAAAAATATCAAAAGGGACAAGATTCGTATTAATATGTTTGTCAAGTGTCAAATTTTCAGCCTTTATATATATATTTTATCTGTGAAATTTAGATTTATTCATGGCTTGTATTGACCCCACTCAAAAATGTTTAGCTTTTAAATTCGTAAAGTACGTTTAACTTACTCAGGAATATTAATCGAAAAGTAACAATTTTAATATTTATTGTGGGGCTCCGTGAATAGTAGTCAACCTCTTCACGGGCTCCGCAAGACCATAAGTTTGAGAACCCCTGATCTAGATCATACTGCGAATTCCCTTTTCCTACTATTTTCAGACAGATGACAACTTTTGGAAGCAGTTTGATAACATTGTTGTTCGTGCCGACAACATAAGTAACACAACTTTTAGAATTATGCTGATTATTACTGAAACCATTTATTGTTATCAATTATGTTATTACAATTATGTTGAAATTCCGCGTGCTTAACTTTCTGTTTTGTAGAATAATCACTTTCTCTGTGTTCTTAACGAAGTCAAGTTTAGTATCTAGAATGGCGGTCCAAGGCTGTCGGCTCCTGGAGCGCAAAATTATTTTTGCATTGTTTGCGGGTCCAGTAGAAAAAAAAACACCAAAACAAAAGTCTTTCTATATCTACATTGCGTGTGAGATTCTTCATTAGTAGTGTAACTCTTCATAACGGATGAAGTGCTTCCGCAAATGTAAGTGCTTTCGAACATCGTTAAGATATTCAAAGCAAAATCTAACTTTGGAAAATACCCACTGCTTTCAAGATTCTAAAAAGCCGTTTCAAATTATATTCTTTTGTCACCGACATATAAGGCAAGCATTGTGGTATTTTCCTTCCCACATCCAGTTCGAAATCTGTTTCAAACTCATATTTACAAAATAACTTACAAATAGCTGCAGACTGATTGATAACCATTTCTGATTTTTCTGGTTAATTTTACGAAGACACGACACCAAATGCGATTTTTTGATTACTCTCCGAATGCTACGCGGGCCACAGATAATGAAACTGCGCGCCACATGTGGCCCGCGGGCCTGGGTTTGGACTGTAGCGAATGTGCATTGTGTAACTATGGATTATAATGTATTTAACCCTTTCATATTAATAGCATGTAATATTTCACAAAATAGGCCATATTATGTTTCGCACCAGCGAAAATGCATTCGTTCCATGTATCGCCTCTCTCGTTTCGACCAATTTGATGACGTATCGTTTCCGGTTTGCCGAGAGGACTCTATAATATTGTGCTTTTTGTTTCACTCGTGATCTGACCGTAATCTTACTGCATTAGAACTAAGTGCGTTACAATTTTATCTGTATTTGGAATTTGGATCGTGCATCTTTTCAATAATATACAACAATTCGACACTCAACACCGTGTGCTTATTATCGAGGGAATCCAGATTGGAGTCACATTCCATAACACGTGTCAATTTAATAACGTGGGAAACGAATACTACTTTGAATACTAGGGTGAACAGTCTTTATCCCTAAGATTGCAACGCTTCTCCCTATAGGACCACCCTGATCTATAAGTTACTTTTATTGTTGTAATACGAATGGACACTTATTAACTTGTCATAATCTGCAGAAAACAAAAAAAAATAACCATCTTGATTGACCGAATAAACTAGCTTACTAAACACCTACTATATCCATAATGTATATTCACTGCAGTAAGCTATATCAGCTTTTGTGGTTGATTATATTTATGCAATGTTTTTTTTATTTCGCCGACATGCTTATTCTTTAAGTAACGTAATTCGGACTTCGGAATCGGAGTTTTTTTTTCATGCTCAATTTACGCCATAATCAATACGTTCATATTGAGTGAAGCGCTTCAAATACATTTTTACGATCCATAGACAATAATTTGAAACGCAGATTTTTTTCTATATTCATTTGTTGTTATGAACTTTCACCTGCAGCCAAGTAGAAGTAATGGTTTACACACTCAGCTCCCTGGCTACAATCATTACGTATTGTGAACTTTCATTCAATACATTTTAAAATAGTAACGGTTGCCACGCACCTCCTGCTTTAAACTCTGTTTTGAATAATAGAACATATTATTTGTGGTCTTACTATAGAAATTACCACAATGCCTAAATTATTTATTTATATATGCTTATTTTGCATAACAAAATACAAGATAATAGTTATCTGAATTTTTGGCAAAAGATGCGAAATGATCTCAACTTTTAAACTATATTTCAGTGAAAGTCATAAGAATCATAACTTGAATAAGAAGAAGATGAACTCAAATGATCATCAATAGGCTTCACAAGTGGCATTTCAAAGGAAGAATGGACAGGATTATTTAAAGATCCTTAGGTTGTTGTAATAAACTAATCAGGACCATTTTTAAATGGTTTAGCAGTAATTTTTCAAACAAATTCTTACCGCATGAAAAATCCTCTTTTCCCATTAACCACTGGACCAAAGGATGTTTCCCCGACCATCGATTTCCTTGTTTATATCCGTAACACTAACAAATTAGGGTGACCGTACATTTGAACCCACGTACATTTGAACCCATGTGTATATCCACGGGTTCAATCTATATGTGGGTGCTAAAACCCATGGGTTAGGGTTAGTATGAGTTCAACTATTCGAAAAACAAAAAAAATTCCATAGGTGCAATAGCATACAGGTGCAATTGTCATGGGTTCAAATGTACGTGGGTTCAAATGTAATGGAACCACAAATTAGCAATAAGTTTACAATGTCGTAACAATGGAACTTATGCCGCCGCTCAGACATCTCTTTCGTTCAGACAGATATTCAAGCGTGGTTGTCCACATTGCCCCTTTTTGTCAATTTTTAGTTGTGTTTCCAAAAAATAGTTGTAAATCAAACAACTTATTTGTCAGTGTGTCTTCTGAAGACCTTTAGTTTAGTTACAATAATCAAAAATTGATACCGCACGCGCTGCGATAGACTAGCTTAAAATTAGCTATCAGTACCTATAAGTATAAGCGGTACGTCGGTAATTGTTTTGAATAAAAATGATAGATTTGTACATGTGAACCAATTAGTAAGCGCCAATTCTCCAAAACACTTTCAAGATCAGCTTTGAAAAATTTGCAATTTGATTCTTTCAGGGGTCACGGCCCACGGGTCGGGGGAACGTTCATTGCTTTGAAATTTTCAGTGTTTGACGATTGTATGACACAGGACACATAAGTGTCACAGTAACTGGTAAGGCTAGGACAGTCCGGGTACCGGTGCTAGTGAGTTACGGCGGTCCACAGTTTGAGTTTGATACAGGATATGATTTTGGTCAGTCAGTAGTTTATTTTATCACATACCAAAAGTACACAATAGACAAAAATAACTACGAATCACATATAAAACAATACTTTCAGTGTGAGGGGAGGCGCGATAAACCAGAAGAGGTTATCGAGCAGCGTCACCCTGGGGGAGTGAGTCTAAAAATTAAATCATAGTGAGAAAAAAGTCAAACAGGATACTAGCAAAAGTCGTGAATAGTAAATAAAATAATAAAGTCGAAGACGGCCTTTTTACACATTTAAGTGACCGATATCACGGTGTCACTCTAGTTAATATGAGAATGCGACTCCCGACACCACTGGTCGAGGTAGCCATGGTAACAGCAGTTGGTTATTGAATAACAAACAGAAAGATAAAGTCGAGTGAGTTATTCCAATCGATGCGGAAATAGTGTTATATTTTTACGCCGTACCGAAGTACGACATAGGAGGGTAGAGACCGCCGGAAAGTATAAGTGAATTCAGTAGCACTCAGAATTTGAGTGATTTTTAAATATAAAATCGTAGGTCTCTACCGAAGGTGGAGGCAGATGTAAACATGAAAATGTGACAAAAATGGGCAAAAAAACAGTAAAAGGTAAGCATTTTTCTGGTAAATGCTAAGCTATTAATCATAGGATAGATCCAGTACAAAAGCGCACGAGACAACAAAATGCACTAGAAATATACAAATAGGATGATGAGAACCACTATAGTACCGGTATGGCGGTATGGTATCATGCTATATTAGTTAAATAAAGCTGCACTTAATAAATACCAATAATTGATAGGATAGGATTTACATATTTATCCCGGGGGAGAGGAAAGCCGATAAGACGGCTTATCCATATGGCGAACCACGGCCTCTCGTCCGGTTACCATTCCAAGTCGGGTATGGGATTAATTTTACTGTATTGTTTGTTTTCGGAAGCATGGACTTGGTGGTGGAGGAAGCCGTAACCGACCAGCGGTTACGTGAACCACCCAACGACGACGAGGAGTCCAGCAATCCTCTCGCACATAACCATCCCTGCATGGGATTCGAACCTGCGAACCCACGCAGAGTAATTAGAGGTGCGGTGGCGAGCGTATTCCTAACGCTTAGCCCGTTGAGCCACACCGCCGCGCGGTGTTAATAAATAACAATAATACGAGTTAACGCTTGTAGTATTAAGAGATAGTTGTTTATTAAGCGTTAACTCAAAGATAGGCACTTGTGTGTGACTGTATGACCACGGAAATCTGAGTCAGATTGGAGGTAAGAAAACTGGCGATAAATAAAACAGTTCAAAAATTCTATAAGATTGCGCACATCAACATATATAGAGTATAACAAGAATAGGGATGAATTATGATGATTCCACAGTAACATTGCAATATATAAAATACAACAAGCATTTAACAGCAAATAAACAGGTCTCTTCATTACAGGCAGGCAGTGGATCGAGTTGAATATGACCTTGATGGACACAAAGCAAGGATAAAATATGAAACAGCGACTTGGAAAATTCAGGTGGGTTGGTAAGAGGAAATCAGGAATTTTTTATAATTAAATTTGAAAGTCATGTAAGATGACTCACGTAGGTCTTGGGGTAGACTGTTCCAAATTGAAACACCTTGATATTTCAAAGAATTTTGGGATTTGCTTAGTGAGAAGCGAGGTACAAAAAAACGTCTTTTTGGGGGAAATTATTTCCTTTTTGACTCCGTGTTCACATGTTTGAGCATTGAACACTTTTACTAAAAAAACATAGTGTAGAATTGCGCGTTAGTAAATACCGATTGGCGCGAGATTTGAAAAAAGTTCATGTCAATACGATCAGGAAAACAGCTAGAAGGTAGAGAAATTCTCTATACTGAAGTCCTTTGAATAAAATTTGAGCGAAAACTTAATTTTGATGAGTATATCTACAGCCCATATACAGGGTGACCCCAAGAAATTTTTTAATTCTTGAGCACTGGTTTTCAACCTTTACAAATCTGCCGGAACCCTTCATTATTCTGCAGGATAACAATAACTACAAATAACAAAATAAAAAAATGTTACTATTCAAAACAGGGCAGGCAAGATGAAATCCAACAAACATTTTTATTTTCAATTCAGACCCCTCAAAAAATTGCCTACGCTACCCTTGTGGGCGCGCACTGGATAATTTTATATTTAATTAAATTCGGTATTACGTTTCTGGCTCGAAAGTCCCTTTAATGTAATGTTTAGTTTTGAACAACCACTATTTTACGAGATATATCCATAACTTCATATCATCAATTTGCACCCATTTAGTTTGAGAGAGAATCATATTTATTTAGTAAACTCGACTCTCATAATATATTTTTAATATTATTTTTTAAATTTATAACCTTTCATCACACAAAACAACAACAGCATAAAATATATTTTCTGATGATCTTTGCTTCTGCTGAAATGACCTATTTAATAAGACATTCTTTTTATCGCTTCCATAATACTTCAGCTTCGTCATTCATGAGCGGCCAAAATATTTCCCTGAATTAAAAAAAATGGTGTATTTGTAAAAGACTGTCATAAATATAGGTCTGTGTCAAAGTCTATCTAATGCAGGAATGTGAAACAGACGGCCCGCGGGCCACAACCTGTCCCTCCAAGCCGATTTGTTTTGAACCTTTATTTCTGGAAGGGTAAGCGATATTATATCCATACGAAATAATAAATACAAAACAAATCTAAAAGCTGCATAATAAAAATGCAATATTTCAACGCGAGTATCAAAGTTACTTACAGTCCATCTAGGTCCCAAAATTACAAGAAGGCGATAGTACGAGTGATGGGCAGCGAATTGATAATTATGTTTCAAATCAATTTCGGAAATAATAATACGCCTTTTTTTCTATATTTTGCCTTCCAACTTTTGGCTTTCTGTTACCTTCTTTTTAATGTCTTGTCTTATTGCGAATTGTATCTTTTCAATGTTTGAGGTAATCTCTACAAGTGAACAGTAAAGAATAATCACTAACTCATTTTCCTTTGATATAATGTTGTAAAATGCTGTTGTTCTGAATCCGTTAAAACTACTTGCACATGCAAAAGAGTAAGCTCCAGCATCTGGAAAACAAATGAGGAAGTGGAAAATTTTTATTTTTAATAAATGTAATTAAAAGCATTCAATATTACTTTTCCAGAACAACCAGTCGCCGCAATCCAATTTTGGCACTAATATTCTCTCAGATACCACCCTACTGTCGCATGTTGGTCCCCACAACCAAGCAAAATGGCGATCCTTGTTTGCTTTTTCCTATAATGAAAAATTAAAATTAGTGTATTGAAAAAAGTATCATTAAAATCATAAAACGGCTGTTGGAAAAATATCCATTACATAATATTATTCATGACATCGGTATGCGTATCAATTACCTCCGGAATATAAGGATGCTTTTCTCCCGGAAAAGGCTCATGCAAATAAATCAAAGATCCGTACAATCCTTCATTGATAGTGTACTCAGCATCCACGTTAGGCATCTTTGTGAACTCTGAAATCGATTGTAATATACATATATGAGTACAAGAATTTTAATAAAATTCCATAGCATACCCCATTTTTGTCATCAACAAATCAAATAAAGTTATAAACAGATTCATATTGAATACTTCGCTCTTTTATCAGTATTTTGTAGTTTCACTTACCCTTTTTCATTATCACCTTCGTTGCTAACACAAACGCGGTTGCTGCATAATATCGTCCAGGCTCAGCTATAACTCGTAAATTATCGAATATTTTAGAAGGAAAATTAATCTCTAAAGAAGCATTCACGACTGTCGCTATCTGGAATAAATGTGTATTCTATGTTTAAAATTAAAGAACTGTAATAGCAATTTAAAAAGTAATAAAAGTGAAAGTGCAGCTAAAAAGCAAAATATCTATAAACATGATTTAAATGTATAGGTAAGTCGTTAAAAGAAATGTGTCTATTGGCGGACATGGCGAAGAACAAAACAAAGAGGACAAAAAGAATAACCAGGAAGTCTGAGAATAAAAAGAACAGAGTATATGGGCACAGGGTGTAGAAACATGAAATTAAATCATCAAGTGATAAGCAGCATTCGAATTTTATACTTCTTCAATGGACAGATCGGGATCTGGAAGTCCCGGAAACCCTCCTCCGATATCTAAAATGTTGAAATTCATTTCAAACTTTTTTCCGTAGTCAAATAGTTCTCTTGCATTTTCAATTGTTTCCTTGAATGAATTGGCATCAAGGCATCCACTACCAACATGGAAACTGAAACAAATTAATCATATGAATGGCTAATTCAATGCATTAACAAACCTCTTGGAATCAGATAATATTTAAAATTCAACAATTGCATTTCAAAATGAATTATATTACAAATGAAATTAGACACTAGGTGAAAGAAATTTAGCTACAATATTTTCAACATAAGCTATATTAAATAAATAACGAATAAAATGAGTAGAGGTTTATATTATATAAACGGATTTCCTATGATGGTACATGAACATTATATCAATAGCTAATGTAATAAAACCTTATTCCTATAATCTTCATTTTAATATATTTTGCAGTACTGATTAGATGACGAGACTGTTCCAATGTTGCTCCAAATTTGTCATGGAGAGGAATCTTTGCCCTTGGATTGTCGACGAGTATTCGTAAGACCAACCTTGAAATAAAGTAACCCATTTATATACCTATTATTTGTTTAACAATATTTTTATTTCATGTGGGTATAAAAATACTGCGATTACATGACACGATTAGGATGCGCCATAACAAATATTTAAAAGTATAGAGGCAAATTTATGCCGCAATGGCCATCACTTGTATTCTTCGAATTTTCAATGTTTTACCCGCTATTGGTATTAAAAAATTCATTTCCCTCTGTCGATCTCATATAAATAAAATAATTGGGTATATCAAAACTTGATTATGATTTAACCAGAATTTTAATTATAAATAAATAAAACATTAAAAATCATACTCTGAATCTGGAAAATGTTTCTTTATTTTGAGAAGTTCAAGTTCACTGTCGAATACCAACATTTTTACTCCATTCTCTCTTGCGTGAATAATGTGAGAGACTGGTTTTGACGGGTTGGCAAAAATGATAGAATCCGGAGTTGATCCATTGTTTAATGCCAAATCAATTTCTTCCTTATCAAATAAATGAATATTAGTGAAGTCTGAATGACACCAGTGTGTATTAATAATTTGTATGTACTGTTATTTGTCTCAATCTATCCAAAATCGGATATTTGTATTTGTTTTCAGTATTTATATTTGCGATATTAATTGTGGATGCGAAATGTTATTATCAAGCTTAATTTTTGAAAACAAGGTCATGAAGCGAATAAAACTCACGAATTTACTACGTTATATGTACCACTAACTTATATGCATTTGTACTAAGTAACATGCGATTATGAAATATATATTTGTTTCATACTAACTTATATATTTTTAATGCTTGTGAACGTAGGATACCAGATTTACTTATATACTAACCTGACTAGCGCAGTCAAATCCAGCGCCCAATGCAGACAAGCACCTAATCATTGGTGGATATGGAGCAACTTTTATAGCGTAAAATGGACGCGAAGTGGGAAACAATTCCTGCCATCTTTTATGTTTCCTTGCAAAATCTCCAAAATCGCATATATAAAAGCTGTCGTCATAATTCTAGTTGGAACAGATATACCAAAATACATAATGTAACGAATTCTCGTGACCTAAGTATGAGGCTTCCTGTAACCAGGGATATGATTGAGAAAGAAATGTAGTGGACAGCTGAATCGATGGCTGTGGGGTCGGAGTTTGGCATGTTTTCATGTATGTATATTGGCCGTGTTGGAGTCGTATTTTTGAACTCCTTGGAATTGGGATCAAAGACAGGATCGAAATTTTGAATGCTTGGGAGTCGGAATTTCAGACTTTTAATGGCGATAATCGAAGTAAAAACTTTTGACAGAAATTTAAAAAGCATCAAGTTGGAAAAGCACCTTCGAAATACACTTAAAGAAGGATTGCATACGTCAAATTTTTTCGATATCCGGGGCTAAAATCGTAGTGAAAATTTTGGCAGTCGGCAGTGGGAAACATTTATAAATGGCTTTGACTTTGTTAAATTTACCTCTACTTTGTAGACCTGAGTTAAATCAGTCAATATTGATATATGTTGAAATATTGAAATATTTATAAATATATGACTATACAAAAATCCTAGTTAACATATACAAGCAATTATAAAAAAATGACGATATATATGATTTTTGACTTTGTTATTAGACTTTACATCCCGTCGTATGAAACAGTCATCACGATCAAATTTATACTAAGGGATTGGATTTGTAAGGATTATGAAGTAAGTTTTTGCATGTCTTCATGTGTGTCTCATCAAATTTTATTTTCAAAAATATAATTCAATAAAAAAAAATATCGCCATACTTCGCGACCTTCTGGAGACTTTGAAATAAATTCTGCTGCTTCGTTCATTGTTATTCCCTCAAATACCTCTATGTCGTCCTGAAGAATAAACGAGAATATCGGTTGGAAATCGAAGACTTATCGATCGATAGTTAGGGGATCCCCCAAAACAGAAACTGCAGTTTCGATTCATCCGCTCTTGTAACTTGCGCACTGCGCATCGCACACACACACTCGGCGGGTTTCAAAATTCTCTCGCTTTACAAAAATCTAGAATCTAGATCACTATATCAATAATTGATTGATAACTCGCTAATTATACGACATAATTCGCCCAAAATCAATAGGCTTCTGGTCCGAGATAAGATGAATGCACATGCAAAATCTGGAGCAGATTCAATCTCGCTTTCGTGATATATCGCGTGCATCTAACAGACACACACACAGACATGCATACAGACAAATACCTATCAATATACTTACCGATCTTAAGATCGATAAGTAATAACATAATTAACAAAGGAAAAAAATAAATGATTTTACTTTAATAACGAAGTGGAGTAAAAAATGAGCAATTCGAGCTAGGGAGTTGTCTTAATTACGGTTGGTTCGATACGTTTTCAGGCCCAGTACAGTATATCTCTTTTCCAACATAGCTTAATTAGACTTATTTATATATAGATTGAAGAATCTCACCTTTGTGCCTATTTGAAACGTTGCGTGTTTCATCATCCTACGTTTTCCAAATAAAACGGTTATCTATATTCAACTACGCCGAAAGATCGTTTGTATTGTACGTTACAGCAATGACATTAAACAACATGATGCGCAACTCCGGCTTTTTTGGCCGAAGATCGTATCCGATAGCACGCTCCAATGCACATACTTGGCGAAACGAAAACGAGCGGATGTGTGCTGCTTTTAAGGCATAGCACGAATGGTGTTCGTGTCTGCTTTGACAGTTGTTGTCGATTTTAATGATATTTCGGAAAGTTGAGGTAAAAAGAAATCGGAAAAAGGTAAGGTAAATACTATTGTTGTATATCACACCCGGGCGTCGCACTGTTAAGTACACGTGGGAAAGCCAGCCTTTGTCAAATACTACGAAGTTATTAATTCAGTACGGTGAGTAGTTGCCCATTCGCCGAAATTGCATATTCACTTACCCCTTATGGTTTCAAATAGTTCATGCACCTCCATTTAGATTTTTTTTAATCAGTGAGGATATATACTCATTGCTCATTGTAACATACTATTGCGCATTCACTTTTATTTGCGTATTGAATCAAAGTGTTAACAAGTTCACCTAATATTTCACTCATGACGGTCTATATTGTATAGTCTGATCTCTCAAGTATTTGGAGCCACGAATGCCTGTAAT